CGCCTTGGTGGGGGTGTAAAGGCTCGGGTCAAGATTTGAATATGTGACAGTGGCCTCTCTTGGGTCGGACGAGAACACGTGCAGGTAGTTCGCCCATTTCCTCAGGCGGAAAGCATGCTCTGATAGCTCCGAGAGATAGTTTGGGACTTGTGGACGACCAGGTTCCCCAGGGTGGTCTCTGAGGTCACGACTTACTCGTGAGTTGCTGGGAATGATTGAGGGTGGCCAGAAGTCATCGGACTGTGGTTTCGTAGCGGAGCAGAATGAGATTGCACTGTAGACATGTTGAGCCTCCAAAGCCATGGGCATCCGACGTTCCTTGGGCAAAGAACTTAAGGCTTGGATCTGCGCCGTCGAGGAGAATGGTTCAGGGTCTTTGAGGAACAGAACAGGATCATCCAGCCACAAACGGACGTTTGGGTCGAAAGATTGAATGATGACATCTGGATTTGACCTCCAAACATCAAATGAGGGAGTGCCACGCTCAGCAACGATCCGGTATGCTTCAATCACGCCCCTGCGGTTATCATAGCGAGCCAGGATTACGGATCCAGTATTCTCACTGTCCGCAAACCAGATCTTGTGCTGCGGTATAAACCAGCAGGGATGGTACGCAAGATATAGACGACGGAAGGATTGGAAAACGCCTGGATCCTCAATGGGTGAGGGAAGTCTTGCGTTGACGAGGCCAGCCCACAGCAGGTCGCTGGATCCATGATCGACGAGAGCCCGGCAAGTGGCTGAGGCACGGGCCAGATCTGGTGCTGAGAGATAAGAGAGGATCGAGTGGATGATTTCAGGGGGCAACTTGAGAAACCAGCATGATGACCGTGATAGCTGTTCATCGGCCAGTACATAAAGTGAGGATTGATCGGAGACGAGGTCACTTTGGTACTGCAAACACACAGGTGGGGTTAGCTGAGCTTCCTGGCCACAGTGATGATGGATAGATATATCAAGCATACCGTGCCGGAAGACGTGTCATCCTCCATCTTGGAGCAGTTTCAAGAACTCAGTAGAATGTTAGAGCTCGAGTGTCAGAGCATCACTTAACCGGCCAGATGGGGAGGCATGGCAGAGAGGAGATGTATCCAAGTTTATGTGCCACAGTAGAGCTTGGCGATAGAAGATAAGAGAAAATAGGCCCACTTTGTCATATCTGTGGGGTAACTCACTTATACAAGTGCTGTTCGGAGTAGACTGAACATTCTGATAACCGCAGGGTCTGTTCTCAGATATATTACAGGTGCTTCAAAAGGCTCACCTTATAGTCACGTGTAGATGACATCATTACATTCATTCAAAGATCGCTATACTTAAGCATGTCATTCTAACATCATCTGTACTTTAGCTACAACATAAGACGGGTTTAGAGAAGACATGTAGCTACTAATGGCCTTGGATCCCAACAGTCACAAACAAGCAAACAAGCCATACATGTCACACGTCCAACAAAAGATGTTTAGCCTGAGGCTGTAAATCACATGATCGCCCAAAGAAGCAGAATGTTTACGCCGGATTAGGAAAGACCAATCCAGGCACGCGCCTGCTGCCTGCCTTGCCCCACACTTTGTTTGTTTACAACATTTGTGATCTATATAATTGTCCTGTATAAAGGGGCCCTGGAGTTGTATCCTCTCGTCTTTGTGAAACCTTTCCTTTTGTGATAAATTTCCCTATCATTGCAAATTACCCCACATTTCAAATATGAACATCACTCGATCAGCAAGAAAACGGAGGAATAGCTCTGTCTCCAACTCGAGGAGCCATTCTCCAGTCTCACACCGAACAAGGCAAAGCCTCACGGCGGTATCCGCGGATGCCGGCAGTATTCAACGAAAGCCAGTTGCTGTTACACCAAAGAAGGCAAGAAAAAGGGTTCGGTTTTCCGACCCCGGTCCTCGGTTGCTGCAGGATGCAGACATCGGATCCACCGGCTTGACACCAGCAATGCGACGTACATCTTTTCAAGGGCGGGGTGCATCATCGGGATCAGGAGATCGTACACCTAGCCGCACAGCACGACGCAGGTCCACCCCCACACCTCGATTTCGGCGGTCTTACGACCCTGTCGAGCCGTTTGACGATGAATGCAAAGAGCGGAGGATTCAATTCACTCCACTGCGACAAATTCTGGATACACGCACACAAAGACGAATTTGTCGGATTGGGTTGAGCGACGAAATAAATCATATTCAGCGCGAGAAGCGTGAAACGAGCAACTATGAGAAGACCATGCGCAATCTGATTCAGGAGCGAGATGCACTGAAGGATGAGCTGAGATCTATGAAGCAAAGTGGAATGGGCTTTGAAGACCAATCCTCGGCGGCAGAGGCCTTTTGGATGACGCCGGAGACACCTAGGCTTTGTGATGATGCATCCGTGGCTTTCAATCATAGCCCGAATCAGACCACTCAGGGTAATGGTGATGATGATACCTTCATGTTGAATGATACTGCCATCATTGTGTCCAGCTCCCCGGATTTCCGTGGTATTCAGGTCTGCAACCCACCGGTCACGGATACATTGATGCTCGAGGAGGCATCAACAATACATTTATCTGAAGAAGCATCCGAGGCCCATTTGCTTGCTGTTGATTTGGAGACTGCTAGGAAAGAAAAGAGGAACCTCTTTGACTCCTGCCGATCGCGCTTCTCTGGGCTCAACGAGCCCGCAATGAATACCTTGCTGCGCCAGTCATCCCCACCTTCGGACTTCTTCGACAACATTTTGGAGATTCTGGAAAGCGCCCTGTGTCGTGCGTCTGACGCCGCCGAGGCTCTACAAAGAGTCAGCCAAGAATGCTCCGGTCTTGGATTCTCCGGAGAGGGAGTGGATGCTGTTATCGCCGATATGCGATCTCATTTCCGCTCAGCACGCCTTGAACTAGAGCGTGCCATACCCGGCGAAACCGCCAACGTCAGTCTTGATGATGCCAAGGGAACGTTGGGTGCCTTAGTGAGGCGCGTTGAGTCCCTGGCAAAAGACCTGGGAACAGAGCGTAGGTACCACCAGGGCTCCCTTGGCCGCGAAAAGGCCCTCCGAGGTCAATTTGACGCTTTACTACACCGATACGAAGCAGCTGCAAACAAAATTAACAGTCTCGAGGACTTTATCGCATCTTCTGCGGGGGATATGCTCCACACACGAATGCGAATGCAAGATCTCGAGCGCGAAGGCCAAGAACAGGCCGTTGGGATTGACAGATTAAGCACTGCCCTCGACAAGTATCACGACGAAGTGAAGGGTCTTGAAGACCTTATCGACAATCTTGAAATGGAGAACATGGCCGCGAAGGAGGACTACGCTCGGCAAATTTCCAAGCTCAAGAAGCAAGTTGCCCACGAGCGTTCAAAGCGTTTCACTGCCGAAGCTTCTTCTTGCGAGAATGACGCCCGCATCGGCGAGTTGGAGAAAACCGTTGAGCACAATCGGATTCGGACCTGTGACTTGATGGCTCAGGTGGAAATACTCGAAAAGGAGCACCAACGAGCCGTGGAGGCTCTGGAGCAAAGTAATAGCGAGCTTCAAAATCATGAATCGGAAACCGGCACTCTCAATGTTCGCATCTCGGACCTCTCCACGTCATTGGATAGCGCCAAATCCGAGGTACAGCGTCTCCGCCTAGTCAACACAGGTCTCGAAGAGCAACTTCAACAAGAAGTCGAGGCTCGCAATGAGATCCTTGATAAATGGGCGGCAGACCAAGCACGTTCATTCGCCCACATGAAAGAGACTATCAATGCAGAGCGCCGGAGAGCTAAGGTCCGCACGGCAAACTGGGAGTTGAAATCTGACGATCTCATGTCAGATGCCACAACCATGGGCTCTGGAAGTGAGCCCATCACTCCTATCAGCACGACACGATTTGTGGATGTCGAATTTGGTCGGGGCAAGGACCGCCGGCGTATGGATAGCGGCATTGGGATCCTTACTGAGGAGGAACTCATGAAGGATGATGATGTATCAGCCCTACAGCACGGTCTCGATTCTGACATTGATCTACCCACATCTGATTTGGTTTAATTTGTATAATATACTCTTACCTTCACTTTCACTATACTTTCATTTGTTATGGTGTGGCATCCTTTGAGCCACCAGCTTTATGTTTTATTTCATATGTAACTTACCGGATATTCCCTGGCGAATCTTGGCTTTCATATGATATTTATTAAGCTTTGGCATGACCCCTACCTTTCCTTCTTTCTTTCTTCTTTTTCTGGCATTACGCGCAATTTTCGCTCCTTTTCGCTCATTTTGCAGTGGTCAAGTATGCTGCAGAGGCCCATTGGGTCCCGCTGTCCATCCTCGGTTCGTCGTATGCACTCCATATTTGTTAGTAAAAGGCTAAGATCAACCAGAAGGATCCTGTACAGCCCCAAGGATGATCCGTACAGACCGACCAGCTACTCGGAACAACAATCAGATTTCACCGATGATGTTGGGCAAATAGATCACTGTTTGATAGGTCCAGCTGGAACCCGGGGAAATCATGGGCAGCTTAGCTGAGTTAAGGTACAAGATGGAAGATCATTTGTGTATTGTGAGCTGGTGCCTGCATGGGATCGTCACCGGGGGCCGCAGGGGTAATAGCAGATGGTAGAGACGCCAAGATTCTATATCAGGTTTTCACCAAGGGAAACTAAGCTACACTGCCAAGATCAAGATCCTTAAGACAATAGCCCCCACGAAATTTGCCGAAAATGATTACAGATACAGGCAGCTTTGCCGAACATTCCGGGGTACTACCCAATAAGTAACCCATCTCGAGCTACTCATACTCCACAACCATTTCGAGAAGGATTGAATTACTTCATAGCCCCCAACAAGATATCTCTCATAGTGAAGTATACTTACGTATTGAGGACAATTGCGTTAATGAACTTGTCGTAGCCCTTCACAAATGTATAAAAAGGATCTCAAGACCCGGTGTTCTTTAAGCATCAACATCAACAATCACTTCCATTCCAACACAACGATCCAACTACCAACCGATCGCAATGTTCATTCAGAAGCTCGTCCCCGTCCTCCTCGCTACTATGGCTAGTCTGCCATCTGCTCTGGCAGGCTCTTGTAAAGTCAAAGCCGATGTCAACGAGAGTCAACGTGGAGCAATCCAGGATGTCACGGTCACTACCGGTGATGGTTCAGAGCTCATCTTCGACAAGTCAGATGGCATCTGCGGCCCCGCTACATTCTGGACTGGCGATGATGGAGATCTGAAGGGCGATGCCACTTTGGCTTCCCCGATCGCATGGGATGCCAGTTGCAACCTTGGTGCTATCACGTAGGTCGATCGATTCTTCTCCCTCGCTTGATCAACTTGCGTCTAAACGGAAGCTAATTATCTATCATGTATAGCTCATGCTCTGCTGATTACCAAAACCAGAAAGGTCTCAAGGGCACGCTGGGCGACAAGCACGGCCAGAACTACCACTCTTGCACTGTTGAATTTGACTGCTAGATGACCGTAGCTACGACTGTGATCCTTGATCTTGGGTTTGAAGCTGAATAGGTGTGAGATCTTGCCCTGTCATCTCCTCCCTTCCGCGACTGTCAATATAGCTTCGTAGATAATACAAGGATTCTTTTTTATACGAAATTCCACTGTGTAACATGGTGCACGGAGAAATACTGGCCTCCTGAGCCTGTGTTGCTTCAGACCGCATCCTCAAACATGGCACCCCCGAATCATCTGGCCTCCTACCTCATCCCCTCTAAGAAATGCAATTGAACTTAAGCCAATACACGGAGCTCACAGCTATAACGAAATTGATCCAATCCAACCAAGAGGCACAGTAATAGTATGCCACAAATCCACAATCGTGAGCGCTTTCCCCTTCGGAAACGCAAGTCTATACGCAGACTCCAATGGCACATTACTCTCTCCGTCCGAGTGGATCCCAACACAAATTGACACAATACGATATGGCCAGCCTGACGAAGATTTTACTAGTAGAAAGTATACAACGCATGCAATTGAAAATATGGTGTTTTGAAGATCGGGGTTCAATATCCACTAAGATCAAATAGTCACACATTAAGATATCCTGTCACGCTTTCTATAAAATAAAATAAAATGGTATCACTGTAACAAAGGTATCCAGAAGACAAAAGCCCAAGCCAAATCAAGAATGGCCGGCTTCCTCGCTAGCCACCTTCTGCGGTAGAGGCTGAGGCTCAACATGCTCCTTATGCCCAGGCCGAGAAAAAATAGCTCCAAAGAAATTGAAAATATTGGTGGTGCGAAGCATCATCGTGTAAAACAGCGTGAGCCCAATCACAAAAATCTCCTCTTGAGCAGCCTGGCTATGCGCCTTGGGGCCATCGAACTCAATCTTACCAATCTTACTAACAGCCCAAGAATTAGCCGAAAACCTAGCAACAGGCATCTGCTGATCATCAACACAAATGAAATCCCATGTTTTGAATCCATAGTTGCTAGTCCAGGTCATGGTGACTGGAGTATCGGTATCGGAGAAGTTGAGAGAGCGGTGGGTGTAGACGGTTTGCCAGCGCTTCTGTGCTAGAAGAGAGCCCTTTTGGCCGTGGAGTTGGTAATAGGCGTTGATTGAGACCATTTGAAGCTTGCCGGTTCCAACGACTTCTTCGTCGGCGGTTCTTGTCACGATCATGCTTTCTGATTTTGGGAGCATGCTCCACGGAAAGCTGATGATGTATTTGGGGCCTCCTTCTGAATCGTTGAAGTCTGTGATTATGGCTTTCCATTTCTTCCATGTCATGTCGACTGTGAAGGCAGGGTTGGAAGTAGTTTGTTGAGGTATATTGGAAGACATTGTATGAGGGTTGGGTGAGGATTGGATTTTTTGGAATCGAAGATTGAAGACTGAGGGATTGAAGTATTTGCTTCTGTGCTACTCTCAGAATATAGACTCATTACTTATATACCTCGAGATCAAGGGTCTCTCCATCACAGCCCTGGGGCGCAGAGTCTTGGCGGCCCCTTTACTTCCTGACACGCTAACCGCTTTTGGTGCTACTTGCCGCTGCTCCAATCAACTTTTGGTCTCGGTGTTTTTTCCGAAAAGCGATGATGTCAAGGTATAAGCGTAAGATTGGGGTCCAATTTACAGTATTGCCAAAATGCGCCAGATAGAACCAAAGTCAGCTGCAAAATGGCTATGTTTATAAGGTTTAGGTTAAGCACTAGTCTTGGCGCTATACTTGATTCTGACGATGACGTTGTTGGGCGTAATTTCCTAGCTCCGACCCTCTATATACCTGTTCAACAATTTTCTATTCCAGTAAACCACATTGAATATACTCAACAAACAAATCCCAAAGATGGCCGACGAAGAAACGAACGCCCACAAGTACCGCCTGAGGGTAACAGCAGGGCCGGAATACGATCCGAACACTCACCAAGTGGTCCCCGTAAACGGCGAGACACTTCGAATCGAAAACGACCACGCAATAATCAGTCTCTGCGTGCGAATCCAAGATTACACAGGTAACAAACATCTTCTTCCTCTGCTACCACCAAAGAGCAAGTCCTTACCCAAACAGGCTACCCGGAGGGCTCAGCATCTACAAGCCCATATTTCGAACATCCACTACACACAAAAGACCAGTACTCAATATCCTTCTCAATAATCTTCAAAGAATCCGTAAACGGCAACAATCTCGTCTTCGGCAATGACTTCGACAGACCAATCCGCGACATCCTCCCGCCAGGCTTCAACGCAGCCCTGCGCATGGTCAAATGGACCCTCGACCCGAGTCTAGATGGCGATGCGTACGCCGATAGACCGTATCTGTTTAGTCCGGCACTGGCTACGTTTAATTATTTCCGGATTGGTGAAAAGATGGGCAAATCGGATGAGCTGCCGACCCTTCATAATGAGGTTGTTGAAGAGGGCGCTGATGGTGAGGAGGCTACTGAGATGCGGCGGATGTTCCCTGATGCGGATTCGAGGAAGAAATTCTTCCAGAATGAAGCTAATCGGAAGGAGTTTGAGTTTGAGGCTGGGAGGTTGTATCTGGTTGATTTTGGGAATCCGTATTTGGCTTTTAGTGGTGAGTTTACAGTAATTGCTTCTTGCTGTCTGGGCTTTGGCTAATTGGTAGATTTCTCTGTCCGGCTTCCTGGTATTACTATCCATGCTATGAAGTATGTGAGTGATAAGGATCATGACTTGCGTTATGTTCTTAAGGATGCGACAACGGGCCGGGTGTATCTTGTTATTATGTTTACGGTTGTCCTACGTGATAACGGGCCGGATCAAGGGTACACTCAGACCGACGACAAGGGCAGCTTGGGGAAATTTGACTGGGAATCGGAGCCATCGGCGGCTGATGTTGAGTGATAGGCTTTCCTACTTGGCTATATCTACTTTACAGTGATAGATATCATTTGATACAAGAAACAATTTTGGCTTCCTTGCTAACCAACTGCAAATATGGTTTATGTACAAGTTTTCTCTTACAGTCTCTTCAGGACATCGTCCAACACCTGCTGGGTGGTAGCCTTGCCACCCATGTCGGGGGTAAGGAACTTGCCGTCATCGAGGTTACCATCGACAGCGGTGTAGATCTTAGCAGCGGCGTTGGCCTCACCCAGGAACTCGAGCATCAGAGCGACACTGCGGAAAGTAGCAATGGGGTTGGAGATACCCAGACCCTCAATATCAGGGGCAGAGCCGTGGCAAGGCTCACCAATAGCGAAGTTATCACCGACGTTAGCGCTGGGGACGAGACCCAGGGAGCCAACAAGGGCAGCGGCACCGTCAGACAGGATGTCACCGTACAGGTTGGGGGCAACAATAACATCGTAGTACTCGGGCTGGCGGAAGAGCTTGTAGACCATAGAATCGACAATCTGCTCCTCGACGTGGATGGAGGAGAACTTCTCGGCGGAGAGGGCCTTGCGGGCAGTCTCGCGGAAGAGACCGTCAGTCTGCGAGAGGACGTTGGACTTGTGGGTGATGGTGACCATGGGCTGGGTGCGGGTGGAGGTGCCGGGGGCAGCGTCGCGGATAGCCTGGCGGCTAAGGGCGATCTCACCGGCAATGGTGGCGATGCGGAATGAAGCACGCTCGGAGATACGCTTGATAGCCTCGGCGACCTTGCCGTCAGGGCCTTCGATGGTGCGCTCCTCCTTCACATAGAGGTCCTCGGTGTTCTCACGGACGGTGACCAGGTCAATGGGGTTGCCTCTGCTGCTGCCGACGGTGGTTCTGACGGGGCGGACGTTGGCGTACAGGTCGAGCTTCTTGCGGAGAGCGACAATGGGGGAAGAGTAGCCGGCGACCTTGGTGCTCGGGGAGCTGTTGACGGCGTTAGCCGGTTCGTGTTTTGCAAGGGCATTGTTGCTTACCTGACGGCACCGAAGAGAGCACCATCACACTCCTTCTTCAGGGTGTCGACGGTCTTGTCGGGGAGAGCAGTTCCTGTCTTCTGGAAAGTGCCGAAGCCAGCATCGAGGTCGACGAAGCTGAACTTGAGGTTCAGGGACGAAGGGAGGGACTCAAGGACCTTACGGCCGGCCTATATCATACCAACAAACCCCAGTCAGCCAATTGGTTCTGTCCTTAACTCGAAAGAGCTACCCACCGGGATGACCTCCCGTCCGATACCGTCTCCGGGGATGAGACCTATATGATCCTGTTAGTCAATTATTGACCAATGAGATCGCGAAACCAGGCAATTGTACCAATGCGAAGTGTCCGGGCAGCAGCAGCCATTTTGATAGACTTATTGAAGAGTTGCTTCCTGGAATCGACAATCGCCGTCATCGGAGCTTTTCATTTTGTATGCGGGCTCGGATGATCATTGATCCGGCAGTACTCCGGGGTCCGGAGTAGATGTCGTGATGGAACCTATGGGCTTCTTAAGGCTTCATTTTCCCTGACAGACCAAAAACTGAGAGGAAGAAATATTGTAGACAGCATGATTCTGCTTTGACCTTAGTCTAGCCAGTGAAGTGCAGGAACAACAGTCAGCCGCAAAACCACAGGCTGTGGATATGCATCTGTACTACCTAAAAGGGTCACTCATCGCGAGCATGAACGTGAATAACCTTTGACTAGGCGGCACTTTTGTAGCGCCCCCGTTCAGCCCCTGAATATTCTTTTTTTCTCTCTAATGTTACCATAAGTTGCCAGCCATTAAGCTCGGATTCAGCGAAGCATATACACGCTAAACCTAAATGGGTCACTTTCCGCGATGTGGGTCCACAAGTATAGAGTCAAGGAAAACGACAGAGATTGAATCCTCAAGGATGAGAGAAGATATTTAAACAGACTAAAGACCCTTACTTAGATTCTTTCCACACCCAATCTTATACTTCGTTTTTATCAAGTATTCAGCTCGACATTTTTGAGACAACTCATTCATCATGGCACTCCATATCCTATCCCGTTCTTCGGACTCACCGATCTCAACTGGAAAGCGCAATATAGCCATTGCAGAAATCGTGATATACTCCATTATACACCTTGGCCAATTCAGTACAAGGTTCATGCAAGAGCGGCGGTACTGGCACCACAACAAGAACAAGAGCATTGGACGTTGTGTTCTCTATTCTTGGTGGAGTATGGTTGGTGTCTTGTCACAGAGTAAGTGAAGGATACTTCCCACAGCCTGAGATCCAACAATAACAATATTACAGTCCGTATAGCTGGCTCAGCCCTTGTACTATCCACCTCACACCCAAACAAACCAATGCTTATCGCCGAATCCGCCTTGCAAAGTGTAGGCCTCTCGCCTCTATTGTTCGAAGTTAGCTTGGTCATGTTGCGATGGTATGTCAATGACAGTAAAGTCCCAATGATTCTTAAGAGAGATTAACACTTCATTTTCTAGTGGACAATCTGGAGAATCTGGACCAGGTAACTCAAAATGGTCCAAGTGGACACGATTCGCCCTTCATTTCTTCCGGTTCCCGATTCTCACCGCCATCGTCCTAGCAGTTGTGGGCGCGTGTATCAACATGCATGCATTGGGAGAAGCTGGCTCAGTGGTTCTTGTTATCACGTTCGCCTATGTGTGCTGTCTCGTAGCTTGGCTTGCATTTAAATCGCGAACACTTCTTCCCGAGTCTGGGCACCGCGCTGCTGTTGTGACTGTTTTGACTCTGCCATTCCTCTTGGTGCGGATTATCTATTTCCTGTTGTTGGAATATGGTCCTCCCAGGTTCAATCCGGCCACTGGTGATATCGGCATTTTGGTTGGGATGGGGCTTTTGATGGAGATCATTATTGTCATGTTGCTTTTGGTCGCTCGTGGTGTGGCAGAGCCCGTCATGCCATCTTTCTTTGCTAAGCACATGGTTTACGATGACTTGGAATCGCCTGGGAATTGAGGTCTGGATGTGTGCTGGTATTTGTTGGTGTGTTGGCCAGGGTTGTTGGTGTCTATATTGACTTAGTAATGCAATTTGCATATTTTAAAGGACTGGTTTGTAATTCTCTGGCTGGGCCGCTGCGTAAATCTTTGAAAACTGCCCCAGGCGGTTCAAAATCCATGACCTTGTCACCGGGTCGGCAATTTCAAACGCCACACGGAGAGGAAACCCCATTCGATAGGGACCCATTATTCCAACGCTGGTGTACTCGACTGATTTGCAAATTTGGTCTCGGAAATAGATTACCATGGCTGCATGCTGACCCGGTTGGCAGCACGTTTTCAATATCTCATGTATGATCGCCATGAAAGAGTAGTAACCGCAATAAATGGTCGCCTGGTTCACATCTGTGTATGTGAGGATGACTGGGTATAGCTCATCTCCTGTTGGAGAGAGGGTCTCAAATGGAGGCGGTGCGATTTGAGAAAACTGCTCGTACCAGATGGCCAGGTTCGCCTGCATCTCGAGAGCTTTCGAGAGAAGTTCGGTTATTGTTTGCAAGGCTGCCGCACTAGCCACATCCATGTGTCTCAGGCCATAGAGCTTATGCACAAGACTCGGTGCATGTGTGAAATATGCAAAGAAAACTTCGATGCAGTGGTGTAGGTCGGGCGGCAAGTCTGTTGTGAATTGTTGTCGCATCTTCTCGTGCCATTCATCTGACACCAAAAAGCACTCTTCGCCTGAGAACATCGAGTGCATTACCTGCCGTAGTATGAGCATACCGAAAGGCAAATCCATGTTTCAAAATAAATAGGATAACATACAATTAAGCCTCGTGAGGCTTTCAGTAGTGAAATATCAAGCGCATTGGAATACCTGTCTGGTCCTCGGATTTGGACCAACTGACTGAGGCCTTTGGCATGCTTCATCCATGACTCTGGGTCATCAGTGTCGGTGAACAACTATGTATGATCAGCATATGTTTCTATTAGGCAAGTCTGATGGGATAAACTACCTCATACATGCACAGCAATACGACTGCACAAAAGACATGGGTCGATAAGCTTTCAGCCGGGGTTTCCAAAGACTTTCGTAGTCCACGCAAAGCTTCCCCATAAGCTAATCGGGCATATGATACCATTTGTAGATTCTCAGCAAGGCGTCCAAAATGGTGTGCTGTGAAGCATCTGATGGTAGCATCCAATACCCGATTTTGGCCATAAATGGATGGAAGAAACCCGAACCAGCGGGTCACAACATGCGTCGTACTGGGGGTGATTGGTTGAGAGAAATCATCAATAAGAACACACAGATGTTGCATAACGTTCACATCTGACGATATTAGAGAATATGGTTCCTCTCTCTTGATCAGAGTCTGACAGGCAGACTCAAGTTCAATTTCTGGACTGGAGGTTGCACTCTTGGGGGTTCCATCCTTCTTGTCGCTTGCTGGACGGCGTCGATCCCGATATGGCTTTCCAGTAATGAATTTAAAGCCTCTATCATATCCAGGACACGGTTGGCCGTATGTTTCGCATTTGGCACATCCAGGAAGTCTTTGGTCACACTGTGGCGTATGAGTAACTTAATATAGGCTCCGCTGTATTTGCGGGACACTCACCTTCACCCGACGCTTGACGCAGCGCAAGCAGCCATTGCTGCGAGGCACACCGACCATGTTAAATCATCATAAAGAGGATAGATGCTAAGATAGATAGACCTCGTATACGAGAATGTGGTACTGTCACGTGTATGCGGTCAGACTGCTTTCTCATTGGCCACGCCAACAACAGCAAAGTTGACCTTTTTTGGCCTGATGTACGGAGTACGGAGATGTTGTTAACGTTAGTATAAACTAAGGTATGCTAGAAGAAATTGCCTGCAGGGATGTGGTACTGTGGGAGGATATGCATATAAGCCCTTAGCTTTAGCTTTCATCCAAACATAACTACATGTACACAGTTTAACAATCTTAGAGATCGATAACCTCAACTACTCCGTACTGCTTGCTGTTCATGATCTAAATCTCTCCTACATACCTCGAGCCACGCGGGATATCCGATACCCCGCATAGACCTGTCGATCGCAACAGATTCGATTTAGAAAATATGATCATTTGCATAGAACCTTAGCACGTTTTAGCTTAATATTATGTTAATGTTAAGCCTCTATGGATTCGGAAATAAGGTCCAAGGTTCGGACTTGTGGACCACGCAAAGTCAATACAGTCAGTCAGGTAAGATGTTTACTTGCCTCAGGCAATATTTCCCCTTACTGAATCATATCATATTGCAATGTGTCCAGACGTGTTTCGGATATTTCGGGACTCCTTAGGTGGCATCACACTGAGTAATGAAGCCCCTGAAACTCCAGGCGATCAATTGGCGCTAGTACGCACTAGCGCGATGTATGTAATAGTTTCCCTTCTGCTCATTCTGTCCTCACCTTCATTCATCGTGTTGAACCCTACTGGGGACATGCAGTGCGATCTGCAGCTTACTGATTAACCGTCACAGTTCCACCGTTTTTCCCCCAACCTCGCCCCTGTGCTCTGCAGACGCGTTCCTTGACCCCTTCATTATACATGCCCTTGCTCGAGCCCGAGCCTGAGCAAAATGTCCGATAACAACCCCCATCACCCTGGCGTGCGCAGCTTGCTGGCCAAGTTCGAAGGCCAAAGTCCGATCACCTCCCCGCCCTCCCGTGGCAGATCTCCCGCTGCATCAGATACCTCAGGGACAGCTCGACAGTTGTCCAGGGTCCGCGCCAGCTTCGTGAACGTGGAAGGGGCCCTACAATCCAACCCAGCTTCGCCATTGAGAAAAACAAGTGGACGGAGTGATAGCCCTGGAATATTTGGACCGAAAATCAATTCGGTGAATGTGGAGTCGAGTCGGCAGAACATGGCTTCTCCTACCCCGGCCAGCCATCTAGAGCACACCGAGAACCCGAATTTGGCTCAGATCATGGCAGAGGGTCGACCGGAAACTCTCCAAACGAAGCGGCAACCAAATATCACTGCCCAGGAGCCCCCTGCGCACTCCGAGACTGCACCCCAGTCGCCAGACGCGCCCAAAACGGGGTCTGCCTCCGCCAAATCTAGGTCGACAACCTCCGAGACACCCTCGCAAAAGTCCAACGCGTCAATCAAGAGAAAGCCATCTAGCGTTGGATCTACTACTGCCAACAAGCCATCGACTACTGCCACGTCGACTGGCGGACAACGATCCCAAAACAACACCTCCAAGCCCTCAGCCCGCGAAGTGGCCAAGGAGCGTTCCAACTCTCTTGCCCACAAGCCGAGCCGTGTCTCCTTGAACCCCAAGACAACAGCACGGCCGACCCGAGGCTCAACTCCCGTGGAAACTTCCAAGCCATCTACTGCAACGAGCAGATCTACCCGTCAATCTACAGCGCCCACCCAAGCACCCACTAACCCAGCAAGCACTGGCGCAAGCACTCGCACAACCAACACTCTGACTAGAAAACCCTCGACCCTCAAAAGTGCAGTCGGAGCTCAGCCGCCGGCGACTACGTCTACCGGTGTTCGCAGACAGTCCTCTCGCCCCTCGTTGCCCAGCCAGCCAGCCAATGAACGGCCCAGTTCCCGAACCAGTGATGTACACACTACCAAGCCAGTCAACGAGGGCTTCCTTGCGAGAATGATGCGACCTACTGCTAGCTCTGCTAACAAGTCCCATGAGAAGACGGACGTGAAGCCTGTTCCCAAGACCACAGCGGCTTCCAAGGCCCCCAGACATTCCATCGGTGGCAGGGTTCACGAGCGCGCTGCGCCCCATTCAAAGCATAAGACTACCACTCTGCGACCTCAGAGTGAGAGATCTCAGGCTGCGAACAAGGCGCCTGTTCGTGAACACCCGCTTCCTCAGAAGAAGCAGGAAAGCGAGAAGGAGAATCTTGTTGAGCCTACCCCGGTCAGCTCCAAGGAGCCTGTGACTGTGGAGAAGACAGAGGCTGCTGCTGTGGAACAGCCCGAGGCTATTGCTAAGCCAGTTGAGGAGGTTGCTGCTCCTATCCAGGCTGCGAAGCCCATTGAGGCTACCTCCACCTTCGAGCCTGTGGATAAGTCAGCTGAGGTGTCTAAGCCGGTCGTTGAGGCCCCATCTGAGCCTATCGAGCCTGAAGGCAAAGTCGAGACCGAAGCTGAGGTCGAAGCCTCAATTGAGGTGCAACCAGTTGCCGAGGCAGAGGCTCCGACCGAGGCTGAAGTGGAGGCTCCTGTGGAGGCTATTGAGTCAATCCCTGAGGTTGTTGAAGAGGAACAGGCTGTCGAGACCACCGCTACGCCCGAGGTGGCAGATGCTAGCCCAGCTCAGGCCGGCGAGACTGTCGAAGAGCCCAAGGCCTCAGGCCCAACCCCTGCCGAAGTTGAAGGCGCTGAGCAAAAGACTGTCATCCCTGAGCCAGGGCTCAACCAGTGGCTTGCAGCTCCATCTGGTCCCAAGTTTGAGGCTCCCGAGAAAGAAGAGACTGTTCCAGCCAAGTATACTACCATTCCGGAGACTTCGGCAGAACCCGAGAAGTCGGCAGAGGTTAAGCCTACCGAGGTCAAGCCTGCCACCGAGGCCGAGTCTAGCAACGTCGCCCTCGATATCACTACTCTGGCACTGAACTAGGTGGATGTCATAGTAACACCACTCATAGAAATGCTGAACTCCGCCTATTGCATTTCCGATCACCTTTGGTATCTTTTTTAATCTGTTTGATTACCATCCCTTGGCTCTTCTCTTCTTGCCCACCGTGGTCCTCTTTTCTCCTTCGAGGCTTGTCCTCATTTTGACCCACTCATCCCACCAGGGGCTTTTATCTTCTTCATTCTAGCATCTCCTCATCTTTCCATGTCTTGGGCTGTCTAGTTATTCTGCATTCTCTGTACCGATTTTGTGAGCACATTATTCTTAGCGCTTAGGGGCATTACATGTATTGAATTTAGCATCTTGGTTTGTCAATACAGCGGGGTTCAAAGCTTTACCAGTAAACACTTCATTTGTATGTAAAACACGCAGAACACAGATTCTGTGTACGTCAACAGCACTATCAAAAAGAACCAAACGCTCCAACATATGATCATGACCAGCAAAGATCACCAACAAGAGAAACAAGATGCAATTGTAAATCTCTCCACAGCATAAGGAAATAAACCTCACAGCCTTTTCTCGAGCTTCTTGAAAAACCGATTAACACCACTTTCCAGCCGCTCCGCCTTATCCTCCAACTTCCTCGGCCTCTGCCCAGGATTCTTCATGGCCTTCTGCGCATACTTCTGATAATGAGACCCGGCCTCAGCCTCCGTGGGCCGATAAGCCTGGCTATGGATATCATACTCAGATGCACCGGGCTGTCTCTGCTGTTGACTCGGAGCCTTATCATACGAGTAATTCGAGAACCCACCCATCGGAACCGGTGTCGAAGCCTGTTGCTGTATATCCTGAATCGATGGCTGTTGCGAACCCCCATAAACCTGCTGATCATACAAACGAGCATTTGGATCCTGAGGCTGAGGCGGTGGCGGCGCAAAAGACATAGAACCCGATCTCTGTGGACTAGCACTAGCATTCCACTGCTGGCTACCCGCGCCACTAAGGAAAGACTGCGAGTAAGACGGCACGGGCAAGCCAGGACTCTGGATAGAAGAATGGGACGAGAACGAGCCTGTATGCTGTATGCCCGCGCTAGGCGGTGGTGAGGCGTAGCCTGGTGGGCCTATTGTCGTTGTTGGAGGGCCGGCGTAGGATAGTCCCGGTGTTGAATTTGAGGGTGGAGGAGATGCGAACCCGGCTACCCCTCCTACGCCGCCGATTACTTGGTGCGGGGGTGTGTAGGGAACGCCGTTGTCGGCTGCTACGGCGGCTGCGAGGCCTGTGCCGTCCATGCCATCTTCTGGGGGTGGGGTCTTCTCGCGATGTTTGATCGGTTCTGGGGCTGCTGGGGCGGCAGGGTTATATGGCAGCGGGGCGAAGCTCGCTGGGTCTTTCTTTTCCTCTGCTGGGGAGTGACCAGTGCTTGAGTTTTCATCGGCTGGTGGGCCGCTTGGGGGAGGTGGAGGGAAGCTAGTTGTTTGTGGGATTCCTGGGCCTTGGGGTGGTTGAGATGCGGTGGTTTGGGTGTCGGATCGAGAGTTCCGTGTCTGGCCGTTTTGGTAGGCCGGGTCTGAGACGGCGACATTCTCAAGTTGCTGGACCACTGAGCTTAGGGGTTGCTCTGGTTGGGGAGCTGGCTCTCTGTCTGTTTCGACTTGGGAACTTGGGAGAACCTGCTCTGCTGTGTCGAGGAATTGGGTTGCGTCTTCCTGGCCCCAAAAGTAGATATCTAGTGTATGGAGACGGGGAAAGTCTCGAAAATCAGTCTGATCATCCCGTGGATCCCCACTCGGCAGACGCCATTCATGTTGAGGTGAAGCTGGTGAATATGCGCGTTGTTGAGATGGGTTGGTGTGTGCATCGACGGTTAGGGTACAGAGTGTTGGGAATTGAGACGAGTGTCGAATGTGAACATGATTCAACTCCCCGCAAAATGCATCCTGCTCTGGGGATCCAGGGTTATTGGCTATCTCAATTCGGGCTTTGTTCTGAGAGGCGTCGTGGTAGACATATAGATATGAGCCCTTGTCAAAGCGGTGGTGGTATGGCGAAGGTCTCCGGGTGGGCTCTGTAAAATAGTAGTGAATATCGGCGAACCTGTTTATATCAGACCAAATCCAACGACTTGTGCTTCATCTGCGGGGAGGCAGTTCAACTTACACTGTCAATAGACGCTCTTCACCCGCTAATGGAGGCATGATGTTAGGGTATACGCGCAAGGACAAGTGTAAGGAAAGAGAAAGACATATTCTATTAGAAGTATTTATAGCTTGGAGACTGAGGGGTACTGTAAGACTACAACCGCCATGCACGTTGGGCGCTTAGGAGGTGCATGTGATGAGATGGTACTAGTGACCTGGGCATCACATACATCCACAGCGGGCGGTAAAGTATCGGATACCTGACCACACATCACCCGGAAGTATGGTTTATCCGAAAATTTCCATCCCGAATAATCGCAACAAGCAAGTCGGCGCTGCATCACCGACCTCCTGTCTTCGATTCCCCAGACAATTGCACGTCAAGCTTTGTCAAAGTCGGTCATCTTTTTCGCGCATCTGGAATCTCTCCTTTTCCGACTCTAATAAAGACCTGCAACCCTCCACAACACCTTTGTTCTCCGAACGGCCGCCGGTAGGGCCCAAGTGCCACCATCAAAATGTCTCTCGTCAACCTCGCCGCCGTCTGTTCGCACCTGAACAATGCCACCAAGGCCCGCCTGGCACTCACTTCCATCCCCAACAGCAACCTCCACCTAAAGCTCTCCCTCGCCCTCCAAAACTCCGGCTACATCTCCTCCGTAGTCCGCGGAGGCCCGACACCACCTCCCGCCCATGCCATCCTCGGCTACCCAGCTGCCAACGATACAACCGAAGGAATTGAGCCAATCACTCGCGATAACGTTGCCTCAAGGCGGTTGTGGCTTGGTCTCAAGTACTGGCAGAACGAGTCCGTCCTGGGCAAGGTCAAGATGGTCAGCAAGCCCACCCGCCGGGTGAACATCGATGTGGAGGGGCTCCGCCTGGTCGTCTGTGGCAAGGAAGCTGGGGGCGTGGCTGGCCTTCGTTCGCCCGGTGAGAGTCTGTACCTCTCCACAGACAAGGGGATCTTGGAGGCGCGTGAATGTGTTGAGAAGAAGCTCGGTGGGCTGGTTCTGTGCCGTGTGCTATAAGTCTGCGATTGTTCTAGCGGCTACATGTTCCCCGAGTGCCCGCTGGGGAGTTTCCCTTTCTTTTCTTGTCTTCTTTCGCATTTACTTTGGAGTTTTGTTGGTTAGTCGCAGCGATGGGCTCTTGCCGAGATTCGTCCTTTTGTGACTGTATGGGTTAATACCTAGGTCAAGGATCTGTATATTAGATGTCTGCGTGTATTTCGCATTCTGTGTACTCTGCCGGTGGTGCAGCTGTCCTCAATGTGACAATAGTGTATAGATTATGACTTAAAATATGTTCATGCTCTCCTTTGATATCTCTAACCAGGCTACTACAGCCATAGTATGTGGCCTGTATCGGTAGGGCTAAATGGATACCCAGGCTATGGATGTTGCTGTTCGGACACGGCCTTACCATGCGGACATACATACATGTGGATTTTGAAGTGAGGTTAAAATGACTCCCTTTTGGCTAAAAGGACAACCCCCAAAAATGGTTCACATAATTATCTTTTTTCCACTTTGGCTGACCTGTCGACTTGCGCTTCCCATCAGATCTCACCCGCTCCGTATTTTGACCCGCATCTCGTCGGGCATTCCACTTACATCTTCTATCAACTTTCCTCATCAGTAAGGTAGATCATCCAAATTCTCCAAAAGGGCTTCCAGGCTGATGCGTGAATTGCCAGAGAAAAAGCTCCCACGTCATGGCTGAACTACACTACAAGCGTGCGCGAGCCAATACCGTTGGTCACTCCCACGTTGATACGACTGGAAGTGCACCTTCAGTGAACCCATAGGTGTCGGCAGAAGAGGTGTCCGACTCATCGAACAGCTCTATGAGAATTAACTCGTCCAGATCGTCAACAAAGCGGCGCAAATCCACCTCATATCCTGGACATGATAAACGATACCATTAGTGCCACGCAGAGAATCTTGCTGTAATGAATGGCCTTTCGACCCGTTTTTGTCTCTGGAGGATCCTCATCGGGGAAGCAGCAGATGGTAGTGGCCTTCTTATAAATGACCTATCTGTTATGGCCATCAGTGATCATATAACTACACTTTCCACACTTGCCGGCGGTAACCTCATGGGTCTCTCATAGCTGCATCCCTCACGTATGAGTGGGTTGTAAGCATCTTATTAGACGACGTCGGCCATGACCTAGAAATTTGTTCATTCGACTTATCTACGAGCAACCCTGACACTCGGCTCTAGTTTTTCCTATGTGGAATGGCATTTCTTTTTTAGTCTAGCTAGGAAATCTACTATGTACTAGATTCAACATTCCTATGCCTGTAGGTTCTTCGCACGTTCTTTTCTTCCTATCGTACCTTCCTCCACGATACACCTACCTTCGTAATAGCTTCCACCGTGGGTTTAGAAGGACTTCCTACTCGATTTTATTATATCTTCTTAATCTTTCACGGCTTGAGGGCGGTTAGCGGTCAATTGACCGGCAGAACCCCACATGTTGCTTTCATCTCTGAGGACAAGCTAGGCGCCAATTATCCCGCTTCATTTCCCCTAAACCTCGCCAATATTCTTCTTCCTTCTTTTTGCTCTTCAGGTATCTTTTAGACCTAGCAACACCCTCAGGATGTCAAGCGATGGCTATATATCCCAACCCACCTTACGTTCAGCAGAACTTCTTTTCTCATTCCCACCGGATATTCTCCAGCCAATATTCCACTATGTCCTACTAGACGAAGTGTACAACACGAAGGAGGTCTCAATAAGATGTTCTATACGCACGATGCATCTCAGATATATGGTCCGGGGAACCAAGAATCTCCGTGGAGTCTGCGGCTCCTGGACAAGAGCGCTGCATTCTCTGGTATTCCGCGGCAGAGAAACAAGAGAAGGAATAGTACTCCGACTTAGTCGCCTTCTGCTTAATAAGGACATAGAGACATTCCCGATGCTCAGGGACTGTATGGTGAAACTTCACCACCCGCACTTGCTCAAGGACCTCTACTCTCTCCAACAGGACATTGCAAAATCCGCCATCTCGTTCGAGTATGTCTACGCCGTCGTCTGGCGGGACGACGACGTTATGGATGTTATGAGAAATAGAACCTCCCATCTTGGATACGGGCCCTATTCGAACGAGATCGTGGACACATTTGCCGAAGAATGCTGGGCTTTGGGCATGAAAGTTGGTGACAGTTGCGCAAGGTTCCCGAATGGCAAGGTAGACCCTTCCCAGGTTACTGATGAGTGGGTGCAAGCCGGTCTGGCATCTCTGGAGAACTTCTACGTTAAAGAATGCCTTAGTCTTTGGTATCACAATGCGCATATGTTTCGACAGATCGTGGGTGCGTTCCCATGTTTAGAGGTTCTAGAGTTTCCAGCCTTCCTCCACGTTCCTCTTCTGGCGAAGATGAAGTATTTCTTTCCGCCATGCGAAGATTATTCTCCATACGCCCCTATCAGTCTAAGCCCACCGCAGATGTTGCAGAACCTGGGGATCATATATAAGGACCAGGGTCCGTCATATTCCAACATCATGGCGTCTATGAAGAGAGTGATAATTCACACTTGTCATTATAATCCGATTCTGTCCCTCTTCAGTGGGGGCCTATATCGTGGTCTTTCTGCCGAGTTACATATTTTCCTTGTGGTGAATGGCTGGATGGGTGGCCAAAATCCAGAAATAAGTTGGAATGTCATTGAAAGGATAACTGAGCAGGCAAAGGCAGCTCTTCAAGATATCCCAGAGAAGACGAAGGCAAAGGTTTCACACTTCAATACAGATGTGTTGATGGATGTGATGGATGATACCGCAGGAGATAATCGATATTGATAAATCAAAGTGACCTAGATAAAACTTTGATTACTATGTCATAGCCTTGTTTCTTATTCGTCCTCGATAGCTGCGGAATTCAGTTCTGGACTGACATCTCGTTTTAAGGCCCTATTTATATTGGAATTCTTCCTCGGGCTTTCGTCAAGTCTCTCATCTCTATGCTCGCGGGAATTCGGCGCCAGGCGACCTCTCCATACCATTTGCAGATCCACTACAGGTTTCCACGGAATCCTACGGGCTTTGCATACACAGAGTGTAATTTTACGTAGCTCGGTACTGTAACATACAAAGCACACTTTACTGCGCCCCCTCAATTTAACACGGCCTAAAAGAGTTACTCAGTGTGTATTGGTCAAGCCGATTTCGAGAATGACTGTATCAGAAGGTTATTGCATTTTTGAGTGATTGTCCGAGGTCCTCGAGGATTTGGAGATTAGTTTTATGAAGAGGGAGATGAAAACGAAGATGTAGAGTCAGAAGTGGAAGAGGAAGAGAGCCCAGACTATGACCCATATAGTAACGTCCTTGATCTCATATATGATGAGCTTTGGGGCCGACAGTAATGGCGTTTCTATTTTGAGACTGAAGCAATTGAGAACTACAATTAGATGTCTAGAGATACTGAAATACTCAAATCGACTGGAATGCCAACCCCTCGTATCACTCGGAGGATATTCTGATGTCGGCTATGACGAGTCCAATTTCCTCCCCCACCGTTTACATCAACATTTCCACAATGAGCGATTCATTTCCAAAGGTCCTGGTCTCTGGTGGCACCGGGTTTGTAGGTTCGGCCATCGTGCGGGCTCTTGCTGAAAAGTACCCGGACGTTGCTATCACTGTCATCGATCAGAGCCCTCCACGGCCCCAGCACGTCCTACCAGAACACATCTCGTGCATGCAGATTGATATAACCTCAGCCGAGGCAGTAATGGAAGCTTTCAGGGCCACAACGCCAAATGTCGTTGTCCATACTGGAGGACTCATCCCGGGCCTGGCGGAGCGGTTCGGGCGCCAACTTGAGCAGAAGGCGTGGAAGACCAACTTCGGAGGGACGCGAAATATGCTCGACGCAGCGCAGCAGACTGGTGTTATTGCTTTTGTCTACACGAGTACTTGCTGTGTGGTGACTGATGATACAAGCACTCCTCATCCCAACATCACTGAGGAATGGCCTTCGGCAGCCAGGTCTACCATCTATGGGGAATCCAAGGTTGGCATTCCCCAGTTCTACACCTTCGCATTATTTCCATTTTATGAAAACAGATACTGACACATCTCTGGTAGGCTGCAGCAGAAGAACTCGTTCTCAAGGCCTCTAGCAGCAAAATGGCAACATGTGCCCTTCGGCCATCGGTGCTTTGTGGACCAGGAGACTGCCAGCTGATCCCACCGATCCACGCATGTATTGCCAAATACGAAACACCATTTCTCATCGGGGATGGACTCAATTTGTGGGACATCACCCACGTCAGCAATGTCGCTGATGCCCATATCCTAGCTATAGAGAATCTGGTATCATCTCGCACCGCTGCCGGAGAATCCTTTTTCATCCAAAATAACGAACCTATCACATTTCGGGATTTGTGTCTGGCGATATGGGCACATTTTGGGCACATTCCCCCATTCGAATTGCGGATTCCCGAGAGCCTGGCACATTTTGCCGGGCTGGCGTGTGAGACAGTCACCCGGGTAATGGGAACAACGGCAACCCTGAGCCGTGGGACTGTTCGAGATGCATGTGCCATTCGATATGCCAGTGGCGAGAAAGCTAAAGAGATACTGGGTTACGAGGCCCGTATTGGCATCGAAGAAGGTATCCGTTTGAGTTGTGAAGTAAGTGGGCATCACAAGCACTAAGCAATCACATTGCTTACCTGGTTCAGGATTATGCTTCTCGTCTGGGGGTTAGGTTACAGGCCGAAAGCAATACCCGGAAAATATGGCCAATGCACGGTAGACAGAGATCAAGATAGAGTTTCTGCCTGCAAAACGGCTGGGGTGATACCCTGGAGATAACCTGATTGTTACGACTTCTTTTCCTAGGCTGAGGGGGGCAATGATTTCATGGCATCCCTGGCCGGGATGTTGTTGATAACAATGCCCGGTCCATACTCGAGCACAGACATTGGGCTGTTGGGCTGCAATGCTCCATAAACCAAAGGTAGCTGATCTCTCCACAATTAGGGATGTTCCTCTTTGAAAATGTTGGAAAAAGAGACATGGCCCATGCGGCTTATTGGCATTGGGCCTCAAACCAGCCCGAGTGCCCAACGCAGATTAACTGCGTGTCACGGGATTTACCTCAGCCTCAGATCATGGCACGTCTACCTTCGCCGCAGATCTCACCCTCTCTGCAACATTTGGGTAGCCAATATCGCAGAGGCACCCCAGTCCTTGCACTTACTACCCAACGTCCATCTTGCTGCCCAAGTCATTTCCCCGAGACAATCGTCAAACCAGGGTGAAAGTGGCGCGGTATCCAGGATGTTGGGAGTTGTCCACTAATCTGTGAAGATCGAGGCTTTGGATCATGGCTGCCGTCCCACCAGTGCTATGCCTATGCACCAACGGAAACGCACACAGCGTCTCGCCTGCCAACGAGCGTGCACACCGGTTCCATACTCCATCGATCAAGATCTTCAACGACACTGGTGTTCGGCACCGGTGGTTCCCTGTGTATGTTACGCAATTGGCCTCCATGGCGTCAACAGTGCCCCGGCAATAAAGGCCTCATCTCCTTAGATTACATCTCCACCAACGCCACTGGCGTGAAGCCCTTTAGCGCGGCTCTCAATCCACTTCTGTTGCCGTTGCATAAACCTTGACAGGCATTGGTTCCCCCCTTTGTCAGGCATACGCATCTGCTCAGCCCGGGTTGGATGATTTTCCTGTGGACCATATTTATAACCTGCCGTTTTCTCATCGTGGATTCGTCCGACTCTCCCATCAAATCCTTTTTATACCTCCCCGCTGTGTCTTCGAGTATTATACTAGGCTGTTGTTTGGCCTTGTCTCACTTCCTTCATGCTACCCGTCCTTCCCCATCCATTGACAGCTGGATCAGCAAGCCTGCATCCGTTCTCTTTCCCAGCAAGTCTTGGTTCTTGTGCAAGTTCAATCAACTCCAAATTGGATACTTGGTCTCGCCATAGGTCAGCAAAATCAGCTATCGTCATTCCCTTTCCTATTCCTGCGCCGGATATATTGGAACCCGAGACTCATACTTCGTAGCAGCACCATGGCTCAACATCCCGTTTATGGACCCCCGGCGACCTCCCCCGTCATCTACCAACAAAGGTATTTTCTGTCATCATCCCATCCGTCCAATCTTGTCTCTCTGTGTCCGGTAAAAATACACCCTTTACGGTTGCTAAATGGTAAAAGGTTGCCAATTACTCCCCGCGGATATGGCTACAGAGATGACCGTCATATGTCTGTAGGGTCTATGGATTTTGACCCTCAGACACGCTACCACGGATCCCCAGTCCCTATGGACACCCGCGGCCACATGATGAACCCGCCTATGGGAAGGTTATCCTATCCTCCTACCGGACAACCAGTACCTTCATCCCGGAATTATGATTGGAGCCACCCGGCTCACCTGCCGCAGGAGTCCCTCAGGCGGGATCATGGAACAATTCCCACCCCGGAGAGCCCAGAGTATGTCATGGAAAGAAACAGCCGGCGAGCTGCCGATAAGTCCAGAGGAAGCCCGCATTATTACTCCCAGAGACGGACCTCCAACCGGGATGAATTTGATGGCCCACATCAGTTCCTGGAACCTCCCACCCAACAGGTCATCGCAGCCCAGGACAAGGAGCTCCCCGAGCTCCCTACTAATCTCGATGCCTCAGAGCAAGATAGCATTCTCCACAAAGTCAACGACCGCTTGTCCCGGTGCGCCTATGACTTCATCGCAAAGTACCAGTTCCGCGTCCCCATCGAACAAGACAAGAGACCGGTCAAGGTTCCCTCGGACCGCGAATGGACCGAGTGGGTGCACCTCTTGAAGCGCCTGGCTACAACACGCCGCATTCCCGCTCATCTCTTGTACAACCGCCAAATCAAACAGCTCATCACCGTGCTGGAGAACTCCCTGGAGATGCGCCACGCTGCCAAGCACCAGTCCAGACCGGTCAAGGATGACCGCAACGTGCTACAGCTCATCTCTGCGGGAATACAGGTTGCCAAGATCCTGAAGGACTCCAGCGCCATGCAGTTCCTCGATTGTCTTTATGTTGACACCGAGAAGCTGATTCTGGATCGACGTGGCCGTCGTGTGAGATTCGCAAACACTTGAATCCACCGGATGGAAAATGGCCGTTTTTAAAAGAAGTCCCTGGTTGGATGCCACGTTTTTAATGACTTTCCGTTGAGCGCCCCTTGGATTGCGCTGCCACTCTGCTTGTATTTTTTACCACCCGCCTGGATCATATCCCATTGTCCACTCTAGACCCCCACCCTTGGAGGAAATGTACCTCGGATTATCAGCGATTCCATTCAGGAGGTATTCCCAGCAGCTACCTGGCCAAGATATTTGAAGGATGATATTTCCAAGACTGGCAGAAAAATAATGAGGACCTGCAATCGGCAGACAGGTAGGTCCTTCATTATCTGTCCAGCCCCGGTCATGGGAAGTTGATGTATGTCTATAATAAAGATCGGTGGTCAGACTCTACTGCCATAATGCCTTACGTCAATTCCAGCAACATGTTTCTGTCACTGCCTGACAATCCCTCGTTTCCTTCCAAACATGATGGCTTCTACCATCACTTCCCCCAGGAACGATAGCTACCAGATTGGTACTACCGATTTCTCTTACACTTTCCTCGACGCCGTGGACAATTGAACAACAACTTAGCACCAAAACTCGCTACGTCACTCAACTTCTCAACGACCGTTCGCTCTACGCCCTCTATTTCGACTTTGTTCAGGTCACACTACGTGATTCCATAGCTTGATTCCACAACAGTCCCGTGTGATAATTGATTCGTTTCATCCTCATGACGCAAGGCTTAAACCAGAAGCTTCGCACGGCTCCGGATGTCTTGTTTTTGTATACAGTACGATTTTCAGTTACGTTCTATGTGATTATGTTTCTATGTGTCTAATTGTATTCTTTGGGTGGTCCAATTCTTTCGTCTCCTGCTAATATATGCGAATTGTTTCAGGTCTTGAAAATTTTGCCCAGTTCATACTACAAATTAACAACGGCCATGGCGGCTGACACTTCGATTCAATTGAGTTCAATGTTTCCGAACTTAAACAAAAATCAAAGACAAAAAAAAACTTAGCAACCGAAAAAGAAACTAGGGCTTCGGGAAGGATATTGACTAGATCAAGAATCCAAAAAAATGGTTTCCCTGGGAATCGAACCCAGAACCTTTCCGGAACACTTGCTGGAAGCAATTGTTAACGGAAAATCATAACCGCTAGACCAGGAAACCAATTGATGTAAAGATTTACCGGCTTTGACACTACGAGGGGAAAATGATTTCCTACTGAGATCCTAAATTATGTTTTGTCCCCCAAGTTGACGAAGTAACCCCAGGCGTAATGGGAAGCAGATCAATTACTAACAAAAAGATTTTCTAAAGCCAAGGCACGAAGTATGAGACTCTTTATGCAAATTTGGGATCGAGTTCGATAATCTCAATGCGCGAAGTTGTTAAGCGCTACGAATATATATATGCAGCTATATAAACAGGATAATGTCTGGCAGGTAGGGCTTTCCTGTCTGGGCTGCTGCCGCTTTTATGAGGACGATCAGGCTCTGGCTCACTGAGTAAATGTCAGCGCGGCTCATGCTCAGTGATACCAATCCAGTAATTTGATCGCTCAGTGACCGATCATGGATGCTCAGTGATCGCTTGGTGGTTGATCAGTGATCACTTGGTCTATCGTGTATCGGGTCCTAATCTAAAATAGAAAGAAGACTTTGTCCTACCTCCGTGCCATTCAAAACAGCATCCGCTCATTGCATGCCTATACCTAAAATTAACTCCTGTTTTGAGCTAAGAACCAATATCTGGTTATAGGCCGAAAAGCCTTTTTCTCTAGGTGTGACAAGAGAGCGAAAGAACGACGCCGTCTCTAACGGCAGATGAATGGCTATACCCGTGGAGCCTATTAGGAGGAAGATGCTGTTCGAAACGAAGATAAAAACTCCGCAAGACCAAAGAATTATATCAGCAAGCCCTAAGTCTCTAGCTTGAGTAGGTTTATGACCCCCACAAAAGCAAAAACTTCACGGACGACGAAGCTGGCTTTTCCCTAGCTTCACTACAGACCCAGAAAATGGATGTGACAACTAAAAGACTGTTCTAGGTATGACATGGTGAACGTATTCATTCGCTGGTATGCGGATTCTACTTCCGGTCGACTTAGTAAGAGCGGAAAACCAAGCGTGAGAATAACTAAGTGTGGAGGGAAGTCTGGAACCGTGTTCCGGATGCAAACGATGCAGCTGCTCGTCCGTTATACAGTTATCTGCCGAGTGCCTCGGCAGCAACGTAAGTGGTCGCGGAGAAGATGTTAGTCAATAAATGGGTACCCCGCCAAGAACCTACGGGCGGATTCAGCCAAAGCCCGCGAGTGGCCAGGGTTGACCAACTCTTTGCCGCTATCGACTGCCGCTGTGCTAACTCTATTTAATATACTCTCCTCTTTGAAGGACCCCAGATCTATTGCCGGAAACTTCAGCCTGCCCCATGGGGACTTGAGACTCTTGTCAACGGTCCCGTCAGACTTATTTATGGTCGAACATCCCCGCGTTTGAGCTGGCCTGGAAGAAGCCCACTGCCTTTATTTGCCTTTCTTCTACCTTTCTTCAGTCTTCTTAACTTGGGCTGGTTTTACTTCGACTTCGCCCAAGCCATCCGCTATGTCTCCAACGCCAACCCTGATATTTATCCACGGTGCCTGGCATAGCGCAGAATGCTGGTTGGATGTAGTTTCTGACGTGGAGAAGCATGGCTATCGCTGTCTTACTCCTCAGCTTGTATTCTGTGGTACCGCAGAGCCGGTCAATTCTCTCGCCAGCAGTGTCTCACAAATCCAAACCCTCATTGCACAAGAGACAGGAAACGGGAATGATGTTGTTCTGATCAATCATTCATTTGGGGGCTCTGTGGGCTGTTCTTCGGTGAAGGGCTTCTCACAGAAGGACCCGTCGAAGCTGACTCCGAATTCGGGGAAGGTTATTGGCATAATCCAGCTGTGTGCATTCATGCCACCATCGAATACCTCTCTATATGACATGATTGATCCGTCAGACACTTTTCACCATTCGTCTCCGGACGGCTGGGAAGTCATCGACAAACGTAACCCAGAGGATTTGTTTTACAATGACCTCGATCAGGAGAGTGCTCAGCTCTGGAAAGGTCGCCTCCTCAAACATTCAACCGCGACACTGAAAGACCGAGAAAGTATTTACGCTGGGTGGGCTGATGTCCCAGTCTCGTACATTTTCGCTGCGCGGGACCAAGCAATCCCCATCCAGATCCAGGAGGCAATGGTAGCGGCAGCACGTGGAGCGGGAGCATCAATTACGACCAGAACCCTCGATTCAGGCCACAGTCCATTCCTGAGCAAGATTGATGAGACGGTTAGTTCGATTCTTGAAGACGTGGAAACTTTCAAATTAGGTTCAGCGCATTAGTTCTAGCCTGGGGTTCTGCTCAATACAGGCCCTTGGAGTTAGAATATAGCTGCAAATCTTAGTAAGTGGATAGTTAATTCATCTTGGATATGGGAAAGGACTTCTTCAAAAGCCAGGATGCTGCTGTCCGTCCGGAGAGACCCCGGTCTCTCCGGAGCCTGCAATATGGTCATATAAACACATGAGAATGTCACAAACTCGCTTTTTGTAACATCTCATCTTTGCAGTCTTATTGTTCTGCTTTCTGGCCACCTTTCAAGTACCCAAGAACTTGCCACCTATATGATGAGCTGTATCTGCTTAATGTCAAGACTAGGGACGGCCGCTCGGAGAAACTCGAAATCAAATATAGCCTTTTGGGGCGTACTTGGTCGGGTGTCTTTGCTCCCCAATGGGAACTTTAACACGCAGTTACCTTCCTTCATTTGTCCGTTTCCGTTGGGATGCTATGGTATGCACTGCCCAAGTTAAACGGCCGAGGAAAGCCACGTCGCGTAGTGAAAAGACAAAGCAAATACTCTGGACTACCGGAAATTCAGTGCTTCATGGATTATTAGATAAAGTAATGAACGCGGTATGGCTGCTGTATAGATAATTGGGCGCAGAAGAAGCAGATGTGATTGAGGAAGGAACAATAGGGTCAAATTCAAGACAAGACTGATTTCTGTGTGTTCAACTGCACATCTCCTCAAGGCTATTTAACATGGCCGAAACACAATGGATTCGAGGGGCTTCGCTATCGAATCGCCCGGTAGGATTTCTTCACAGATACCAGCTGAGTCCTCTTTGCAGACACGAGCCGCATCATCCTCGTAGACCACGGGCCGAACGCACGCTTAATGCAGACTTCCTGCAGAGGATCCATGCCCATGGAGTATCGCCGTACCGCAACTTGGAATCGGAGACGGCCTGTAACTCCCCGCAGGTCTCTCTCTTGTTCCTTTGTGAGGGCGCCCCGTAACAGCTCCTAGGAGCGTCAAATCTAAGGTAAGGCAAATTTGTCCAATATAACAATGTTCACTACGTACATCCTGCTTGTAAAGGAAAATACCGCCAAATCAGTGGCAAATTTACGACGTTAACTCTTTGTTGGTAGGATATATGTACTTCGTACAGTGTCGCCAAGAAGACATCATAATATTAACAAATTCGGATAAACACCGAGAGCCGCTAAATTCCATTAATAATGTACACACACAATTCGAATAAGATAAACTAGAAGCTAGCCATCTCAATCCAGCTGGCCACAAAGGCCAGACGACGTCCCCGATCAGCAGCCATACGGCGTGAGAACTCCTCAAAGCTGAGTCTTGCACCGCTGCCACCACGCTCCTTGGCCTCACGCTCAATCTGGTCAAGGTAGGCCCACCGGGCCAAAGTCTTGGGGGAGGGTCGACGTGGGGCAGCGGATTCAGGAGTCTGATCATTGACCCGATGTGGGGGTGGAAGTGGTTGCATGGGGGAGGGGGGAAGCTTCGGGGCTGTGGCCTCGGCTTCTGGGGAGGAGTGGGGAGATACTGGGGCAGGGAGAGAGGTTGTGCCGTGGGGTTCGAGGCGGAGTTGAGCAGGGAGGTCAGGGTTTGTGCTTGTGCTTGGGGATGATTCGGAGGCTGAGCCTGAAATGTTGTTGGACTCTGGCCGGGAGACATTAGCACGGAAGGAAAGGCTAGGACGGGGTGTATCCGCGTCTGGGCGATGCTGTGGGAGAGTTGGGTCGTATGCTGGCGTTATGTCTTCAACAGTTGGACTGGATGGTTCAGCATGGGATGTTTGTGAGATGGTTCCATCGTCAGATTCAGATGAGGCGGTGGATGTAGAATCGGATTCAAAAGATTGCTCCCGCCAATGGTCGGTTTCGTCATCGGGATCGTTGAGATGGGTTGGTCGTGTATCATCGTCATCGTCATCATTATCCGAGGCAGTGGCCTCAAACGACGGAGGAGCTAGCACTGGCGCCGCGTTGACAGACTCAAGGACTGGGCTTTGTACTGCGTATCCAGCGCGTTGCAGTAGATGCTCGAGTGGTTGCGTAACGGTGGTTTCTTCGAGTTCCTCCTCAAAAGGTACCTCCTTGGGGGATCGTTTCTGAGGTCCCTCCTTTGCTGCCAATTCGATCTCGCGGGCCCAGACCTTACGTTCAGCGCGGGTGCGGTGAACCTCCATCATCAGATCCTCTCGGGGCTTGAACAGAATGTCAAGAAGCTCATTGAATCCTTGCTGCGTGACTTGATACAGAATCTCCTTGCCAACGTCTCTCTCGACTTCTGGGATTTCAAAGCCACCCCATCGTTCACCAACAGGAATGCTTCGCGACGATGTCGATGGATTGGATCGGATGTCATAGTCGTCAGTCAGATCATCCTGGAACCGTACCTTGGATGATGACCGGGAACGGGGAGAAGGAGGGTGGGATTCGACTTCCTCAAGATCGTCTTCATCACTCGAGTCATCAATAGCCGGGTCTCTTTCATAACCTTCAGGGGCTATGGCACCATCTTCCTCGTCCGTGTAGAAAGCTCGGCGCCTCCAGCGCTCGTCAATCCCATGCCGACGAGTCTCATCCACCCGTCTTTGATCATCATCGCGCATCCTGTGATAAACAGCAGTGGCAACACGAGCCCGATCAATTGGATCTGTAATCTCCTGAGGAGGAATATAGGATCCGAGGGCCTCGATGATGTCTTCTTCATGGACGTGCTCAGCTGGTGGCCAGGTGCCACTAGCCACTGAAGAGCTAGACCGATCTGACCCGCTCTCGCTAGCACGATCGTCATCATTATCATTCTCCTCATCGTCCTCACCTTCATCCTCATCCTCATTTGCATCCCCCGGACGATGCGCAGACTCAGTAGGTGCCAGGCGAAGTGTAGAAGGGAACATTGGCCGCACTCTACCAAACTGCTCTCTGACAGCTGCATCGCCCACAACCGAGTGCCGATCACCATTATCTGCACCATCCTGTCGCAAGATTCCTTCGTGGTCGATGATTTCCATGTCACCATCCTGGTTCATGCGCTTGCCTTCTCCGATACGTGAACGTTCGCCGGAAGGAATGCTGCCAGGGAATGCAGAACTGATGGGCTGGCTACCGAGGACCACATCACGGGCACCGCCTTCCAAGAAATCATCTTCCATGCCGGCAACCATGTCTCTGGTAAGTTCTCTGCTCAGTGCATAATATGCCCTGAAAACTCGAAGGAAATCCTTTCGCTCGACGAAACCATCTCCATCAATGTCATAACCACGGAACACACGTCGTAGTCTCTCATCGTTGCTTTTGTTGTTGAGACTGGCCAAACCCTTGAGGAATTCTTCAAATCCAATAAGATTATCGCCATTGGTGTCGTAAAATGCGAACATTCGGTCATAAATGAGACTGGGAGGAGGTGGCCGGATAGACGTGTTTGGCACAAAGCATCGGTCAAAGGTTTTGCGGTCAATGGCCATGTACAGCTTGTTCGGGTCATCTGCCCACTCATAATTTGCCAAACAGCGGAACTGATCCCAGAGTGCATCGAGCTCCGTGTTTTCGAAATTGGTGTCCTTCATGAGACGCTTGGCGAGAGGACGTGGGAGGCTACGCGGGAGCATCGAAGGCTTCCCGGGATACCACACAGGCTGAGATTGGCGAGGGTTTCCAAGGAAGGGAGCCGGGATCCGCACTTTGTAGAACAAATGGGTCTTGATGTGCACCTGCATCGCCTCGCACGTCTCACAGAGATCATAATCAATGCAATTCGCACAGCGGTATCTGATCCCCTGGATCGGCATAGCGCCGCAGCTGTTGCAAGTAACCCCACGATGAATGTAGCCATCTCTCCTCGCCTGATCCTCGGCGATGTGGTAGAGCAAATTCAGCAGATTTTGGCCTTCGCGCGTAGGTGAGGCGTCATTGTTTCCATCCCGCCACGAGAAAACACTCTGGTCATCCCCTACCGTTTCCGCGCCGTCAGCATTCTGTGGGGGTGCAGACACGTCGGGGAAGGTGGAAGTGGAAAGGGTAACCCGTTCACCATTCTGCCGGCGCCGACGTAGCTCCTCCCCATAGTTCTGATCCCCATTGAACCGTACCAGTGCCCGTTCAATACCTGCTCGGGAGATACCACGGTGTTGGAGCTGTTCCGTCAAGTATGTTCTCTCGGGACTTTCCTCTGCGAGGACATGTGCGGATGGGAAGTCGAGCGCAAGGAAAGATTCAAGAAAAGTGTCCTCCATCATTTCGCGCATGCGCTCCGCGTGAGCAGACGGGACGCCCACTTCCTCCATGAGCTGGTCGCGTGTTGCGAGCAGCGATGGCAGAAGACCACTTTCCACGCGCCGGCCATCTTCCGTCTCGATGCGGAATGTTCCATAAACGCCATTTTGGCGCTCTAGCTGTTCAAGGTGGGTGATGGCTCGGTAGGATGGGGTATCAATGATTTCGAGCTCTTCGGCTTCGGTTCGTCTTGGGCGGCGTACAGCACCTCGACGTCGGAGCGAGGGTTGGGGTGTTTGCGAGACAATACTGTTGTGAACATAGAGGATAGCATATGCAGCAGCGACGCCAGTAAAGAGGTAGAGAATGGGGCGATATCGAGCTAGTGAGACCGGCCCCGAGTGCGGTTGGGACATTGCGGAGGCTGGGGGGAAGAAGAGCTATCGGAAGCTGCGCAGAGAATGTCAGGAAAACAAGGCGGGGCTCATCCTGGTTCCGAGTACCTCAAACCAAACTGAACCGGAAAGGAAAAAGAAATAAACAGATATGATGTTATCGGTTAGAGAAGTGCATTGAAACGTTGCCGAAGCGCGGAGCTCAGCTTAGTAAGCTATACTTCTGGCGACGACAAAAGAGAAAGAGAAAGATGGAATGTTTCTCACATTAGCAACTAGTTATCCTGAAGTATATGTATGATATTGTTTTCTTTACCCGACCTCCAAATGGATTGATTTCCAAAGAGGTTGCCCACATTGCTCCCCGTCCTACCAGAGTCAAATCTCATGTATGGCTAATGAGAAATTAAGGAACTACTTGGATCCTCCAAGGGTCCATAATTTGAAGTAATTTCATTCGCAGCATGCTATCTACTCTAATACATATTTTGATATGTATGCTGAATATAAACAATCTAAATCCCGACCCGAATGCTAGATCATACACCACGTCAACTTCCATGCAAATCTTGTGACTTTTAGAAAAAGAGAATCTTCTAGTTCGTAGCTCAGCGGCTAAGCTTGGTTTCGCGAATGAAGAAGCCGCTCAACAGAGCAAAGAATACCACACCAACCATAAAGGCGAATCCCTTGTTGGTGGACCAGCCATAAGCATCCCGGACAATCCGGGCGGTTTTTGGATCTAGGGTTTTGATGAAATCGAGACTTTCTCGCACGCCTTCAACAATCTGATCTATGTTCTTGCTGTTCTTTAGTCCAGATCTCAGTCGGTCTCGCAGGAGTTGTTGAACAACAGTTGATGATAATGAGAGTCCAATTACGGATCCCAATGAGCGGAACAAGTAAGAGCAAGCAGTTACAACCGCTTGGTCTTCATAAGTAGCGTTGGAAACTGATATATTCATTAACACAGAATCAGTGAATGCAAGATCAGATGAAAACCTACTCAAGCCGATCAAAGTCGTGGTGACGCCAATGCCGTTTCCAAATGCCGCAATCGTCATTCCCAGGATCATAGGGACAGTGCTAGTTACAGCGCCTCCGGAAAACAGATAGATGCAGAAGCAACCCGTTGTTAGGGAAGCATACGCAGCAACGGTCAGCCAGTAATATTTTCCATACCACTTCATTAGCATGCCCGCAAATAATGAGCCGGAAACACCGCAGAGGATACTTGGCAACAGACGCAAACCAGCGATGGTAGCGGAGACACCATCAACTGCTTGGAAGTATAGCGGGATATAGAACAGCGCAGCGAGCCAACCTCCAAAGCTGAAAAAGTTGCAAGCATAGCAAGCGAAGAAAGTGCGGTTGAAGATAATGTGGCCCGGTGCAAAGGGCTCAGCTGCCAGGTAGACCTCAACCAGGATGAAGATGACAAACAAGACAGCGGAGACACTCAGCGAGGCAATAGTCAAGGGTAATTTCCATGATACATTACTGCCACGGTCAAGACCAATCAAGAAGCCAAGAACAGCCCCTACAAGAACAATAGCGCCAAGGAAATCGATCCGACGCAGTTTGGTTTTCCAATGAGTGCTCTCACGGGCAGGAAGCTTTAGCATAAAAGACACGGCAATAAATGCCACGATGCAAATGGGGAACTGTGCTAGGAAAGCCCTAAAGTGGAGTGTTAGAAAGCACGGCATACTGGGTGGGGCTTGCATCATTCATACCAACGCCAGCCAATATAATCAGCCAAAATTCCTCCCAACGGCGCGCCCGTACCGGATCCTGTGGCGTAGATGATGTTGATGATACCTTGCCACACACCTCGGTCACGAAGGGGAACAATATCACTCATCAGGATGCTGACAACAGTAGTCATACCACCACCGCCAATGCCTTGAAAGACCTTTTAGAAATCAGTTAGCAATGTACCGCCCAAGACCTTCCCCGGAACTCACCCGAGCAGCAATCAATTCATTGATATTCCGTGCCAGACCGCAGAACAGACAGCCAATACCAAAAATGGCATATGCAAAAAGCAGGCATGGCTTGCGGCCAAAGATATCGCTCAGTTTTCCATAAAGAGGCTGAAAAGAGGTCAGAGTCAAAAAGTACGAGGTTGCAATCCAGCTGGTTAGATTGAGAGACTTCAGATCACTACCAATCTGACCATAACTGGCCATGATAATTGTCTGATCTGCCGCCGACAGGAAGATCTATATAGCGAATTAGTCACTGCGAAGATGCGCGGGGTGGGTTCCGAAAACTTACTCCAAGTGAGATCGCAGGCACAATGTATTTGAGCTGCTTCTGAGCATCAGGAAATGGCTCCTTCACCTGCTCATCTTGGGTCGAAACTCCTGATTCCACATTGTTATCGGGAATCGTTCCGTTGGACACTGTGCCGTTGCTTGACCCCAGCAAAGGAGAAGTCTCGGTAGGAGATCTCTCTGGAGCCATTGTCGAGACTGTTGTCTATCGCCAACTTGCTCCAGATGGTCTCAAGGTCAAAGTGACTCAACTGAAAGCCCCAAGAAAGAGAAAAAGCGGAGTTAAGAGAACATACAAGCCTCTTACTAGCCTCACGTGCAGATAAGCCCTCCCCTCACTGACAAATCCGACTTAGCCGTCTCGGCCAATGACCGGTCTCCAGTCGGATCTATGCCGCTCAGGCCTGTTTAATTCCCGACTACATCGGCAAACTATTGTTTGACTAGTCTAGTTTGATAGGTGACAATCTATATTATGCAGGTATACTTAGGCATTGAACGGTCGTAAATTCGGCTACCGAGGTATTTCAAAATGCAAGTCACTTCAACTCCTGTTTTGCGTATTCTATGCCAAGGGCATAGGAACTGGACCACCAGGTGAGTCGGGCAGACGGGCAGTCAGAACCTCGACACCATCTTCGGTTACCAGCATAGTGTGCTCAAACTGAGCAGAAAGGGATCCATCTTGGGTGGTGCTGGTCCAATCGTCGGGCCAGGTACGGTCACGGTGGGTACCAATGTTGATCATAGGCTCAATAGTGAAGCACATACCGGGCTTCGCAGTGCCGACAGCCTTGTTCTTAGCGTAGTGAGGGATGTTTGGTGCGCAGTGGAAGAGCTGGTTGATACCATGACCACAGTAGGTCTTGACAACACTGCAGTTGCGGCTCTTGGCGTGCTTCTCGATTACATTTCCGGGATCACGGAAAAGCATCCCAGGCTTGACCAAGTCAATTGACTTGTCCAGACATTCACGCGCGGTTTCCACCACGCGAACAGCGTCGGGGTTTGCGAGCGACTTGTCCCCAACATAGTAGGTTTCGTTGATATCTCCGTGGAAGCCCTTGTGGTACAAAGTAACATCAATGTTGACAATATCGCCATCTTCCAGAGGTCTTTGGTCGGGAATACCGTGACAGATAGTCTCGTTAACCGAGGTACAGACGGACTTGGGGAAGTGCATATAGTTCAATGGCGAGGGGTAAGACTAAGACTTTGTCAGCAGAGAAAGTTGAATGGAGTAAACGCCTCGTACATCACGCTCTATGCAAGCCTTGTGGACAACCTCATCAATGTAGTCTGTCGTGACTCCGGGCTTCAATTCGCGAGCAGCGGCATCCAAAACCTCACGAGCCAGTCGGCAAACCTTGCGCATGCCTTCCTGCTCCTCCTTGTTCAGGATAGTAATGTTATGGCGGCCAATGAGCTTCTGCTCGGAACGAGGGATACCATCGCGGGCGTAGTCCGGGTGCGGGATCGACTTGGGAATGGTTCGCTTGGCGGAGAGAGGGTAGACGGGTCGCAAGGAACCGCTGTAAGGGAAGGATGGGTACGGGTTATAGTTGCCGGTAGCTGGATCTGGTTCAGAAACTACCTTCGGAGGGAAAAGGTTGGTGAGGATATTACTCTTCTTGTGGGTGGTCTTGTGTTCAGCCTGGAGGCTATTAGTCAGTGGTTTCTCTCGCAGAAGGGCGCAACGCATGCGACCCTCGTGTAGCGCAAAGGAGCGCTTACCCAGCTTCGCTTGAAACAGTCCTGCGAACAGAAGAAGCTGTCCGTGCCGCTCTTCAGACATGTCGGACATTGCAGAGTGCCTGCGGGGTTGGGGCAGTCCGTGCCCTGGCATTTGCGAGGACCGGCCATCGTGACAGGGCAGACCGTAAAGGAATTTAAGCGGGATATAAAGCTCTGAGGATATCAGAGAGTGGATTAAAACGGAGCCCAAAACTTCAAGAAAATCCCCGCGGCCTTGAGACATCTTGACGCTAATCCACATTTAGACTAGCCCATATGAAATTATTGCCTGAGGCCTGAATATACCCACCGATAAGCCGATAAGAAATTGACGCCTTCGGCCGATTTCGCAGCACGTGATGAGGGTTTATTCCTTCCCACCTGGGCCATCCTGTCGCATCCTCCTGGTCCTCTCGGTTAATTGCATGACATGGCTATTCCGAGGCAGAAAGTGGTTGTTGTAGGTGCTGGTCCGGTGGGATCGCTGGCGGCGCTGTACGCTGCGTCAAGAGGAGACGAGGTCGAAGTATATGAACTTCGTGGAGGTATGTTTCAAATATTCCCTGTGTCACATTCCTGTTCCTCCTAAGTTTCATGTGAGGCCACTTGGGACCAGGCAAGGAGTATGTTCGTGCCGGCTCTGGCTGGCGATGTACCATACTACTTATGGGGAACTTTGTCTCGCAAGGTCCCTGTATTAATTCCGAGGAATTCGCCTTGCTCGATCACTATTGCACTGCGCTCTTATGCCCGAGAATCCTTGCACGTTGCATGACTCAGTCGTGATATATTGCGAATTTTCCCGATCTGACTTGGACATCCGTAGATCTCCGGGACCCTACGACCGTGCCATTGAATTTCACTAAGTCGATCAATCTGGCACTGTCCGAACGTGGCATTACATCTATGCTTCATTCGGACCGGGCCGATTTGATCGACAATGTACTCCGCGAAGCGATCCCCATGCATGGCCGGATGATTCACGGCCGAGACAGCGGGGATCTGTGGGAGGCTGCACAAGCCTATGACGTTCACGGCCGGGTATGCAATCACCTGCTGACAGTAGCTTCTCTGCATGTAGAGCTTAACTAACTCTGACAAGGCCATCAATTCTATCGACCGATCAACACTTAACAATGCTCTCCTGGACGAGTTGGAAAAGGCCCCTAATGTCAAGCTGTTCTTCAACTACAAGCTGACTGGTGCGGACTTCCGCACAAACAAGGCCTGGTTTGAACGTCGAATTCCCGGCGAGACACCTATGCCCGACGATGCGGGTATCGCTGGTCGTGTGCCGGAGTATGAGGTGTCCTTTGACTACCTCATCGGCGCTGACGGAGCACACTCGGCCGCGCGCTTCCATCTCATGAAATTCGCCCGTGTCGATTACCAACAAGAATACATTGACACTCTATGGTGTGAATTCCGGATCCCACCCTCGGAAGATGGAGAATTCCGCATTTCACCGAATCATCTTCACATTTGGCCAGGGCACGAGTTCATGTTCATTGCGCTACCATCGGCAGACAAGTCATTCACCTGCACATTATTCGCACCATCCGCACACTACACATACCTGGAGACCCAACCACAGGACCTGCATGAATTCTTCGATTCTCACTTCCCCGGCGTATCACCAGAACTAATCACACCGGAAGCCCTAACTGAACAGTTCGCAGCGAACCCCCATCTACCACTGATCAGCATAAAATGCAAACCGCACCACTTCGGCGCTAGCGTCGCCATCCTCGGAGATGCAGCACACGCAGTCCTACCATTCTACGGCCAAGGATTAAATGCCGGTCTGGAAGACGTCCGCGTTCTCTTTGAGGAACTCGACAAACACGGAGTCTACGACCCCAACTCAAGCGTCTACACAAGAGGCCTGAAACGCCAGGCTGCGTTCCAAGCATATACAGACCAGCGCTGTGCCGATACGCACGCCATAAACGATCTCTCGAAAGAGAATTACCTCGAGATGCGCGCGGGCGTCAAATCACCACTCTACAAGTTGCGCAAGGCCATCGAAGAGACGATAGACCGTCATTTCCCGTTCCTTGGCTGGAAGACGCAATATGCTCGTGTTAGCTTCAGTAACCAGCGGTATTCGGAAGTTGTCCAGGCCGTTCAGCACCAGAGTGACGTGCTTGGCCTTGGTTTGAGTGGGGCGCTCGTTGCTGGTGCTGGTGCTCTGTCTATTTTGATGTGGAAGTACCCCAGGTATTTCTCGCCCGTGTGGCTGTTCCGATGCTCGCGGCATTTGGCCTGTGTTGGGTTGAGGGCTTTCCGCAATTTTACTCATATCTAAAAAGGTTGGTGAATTGGACCTGGGTTGGATTTGAAGGGACATGTGATGATATGCATGTCTCTTGGTCGTTGTGATTCAGTGGATCCCGGCTTTGTTTTCCTTTTGCACCTGTACAGCTTCTCTCCTCTATTTGTTTAGAGCACATAAATTTGATTCAAGCACTATGATAGCAGTTTTAAGGATATAGTTAAGAGGTGTATACTTACTACTTCAGGAGGAGGCTACTGTATACAAGAAGGAATGAATGAAATCTAGACAGGAAAGATCCAAATGATTTATCCAAGCCTGAACGCCTTGATTAGGCTGGTATAAACTAGCATAAATTCTTTAATCCCAATACTTGATGATACCATCCAGCCCACCAGTAACTACCTTACTAGTTTCCTGGGGATGCCAGTCCAGACAAGTAACAGCACCACCCTCCTTCCCGCCAGCCTGAATCTTATGATACAACTTGCCAGTCTTCCAATCCCAGAAGCAAACATAACCACCGCTATCACCAGAAACAATAAACTGCCCATCAGGCGAGATCTTGAGATCAATGGCATATCCAGCATTATTATGGCCACGGAAACTCTTCTTGCGGTTCTGACGGAACTTGTCTGTGGCGCCGTAGACGACGATTTGGTTGTCGCCCGACTGGAATGCGACATACTTGCCGTTGGGATGGGCTGCCGCGCGGGTAAGTGCGAACATGTATGGCTCGGCGATAAACTTGATGGGAACAGGGATTCCGTATTCCCAGGCGCGCAGTGACTTGTCGTCTGAGGTGGAGATGAATCGCCGGTTGTCGTCGACGAAGGTGATGGTGTTGATGGCTGCCAGGTGGTGGTCGTATTCTTGGACCAGCTCGCCGGACCGTGTGTCGAATTGGACGATCTTCTTGTCTGACATACCGGCCAGGAACTCATGCGAGTGTTCTGCACCGGGGTTGAAACGGACGACGTGCGGGGTCTTGCCGGTCGAGAACCGTCCGATGCACTTGCCGTATTCCGTGTCCCAGAGCTTGATTTGTTTGTCGTATGAACCGGTAAGGAAAGTCTTGCCAGATGGGTGGAAGTCGGTGTCTGAGATTGCCTTGTTGTGGCCGGAGAAGGTCCGTAGGAGCTCCCGGGAGTGATACACATCCCAGATCTTGGCCTTTCCATCGGCAGCCGACGAAAGCAGCAAGTGGCCGGAGTTCGGCATGAAACGAAGAGAAGTAATTGGCTTGGTGTGCGATTTCCAGGTCTGCACAAGCTTTTTTGGCACGTAGTTCTTGACGCTGCCAGGTTCCTTGCGCAGATCGATATCCAGATCTTGGGGAACATGCATATATGTACGGCCCTGGTAGTCGAATTCCTCCGAGCCGTGGAACTCGGTAGTCTCCTGCTTGGACAGATCACCCTCGTATTCGGTGGCTTCCTTGCTCATGGCCGGCATGGGCGCCGCGGTAGCCAAGGTCTCGTCCTCCTCAACGTATTCCTCGTCACTAGCAAGTTCACGGTCATCCTCCGCATCAACCTCGACCAAATCATACTGCTGGTCATTTTGGTATTTCGCCCAGGGTCCCAGATATGCGCCCTCGCCTTCCACAATGCTGGAATCGCCCTTCTTTTGGCGCTTTGTCCGCCAGGCTGCGGATTGACCCTTGGTCGGCTTCATCTGCACGACATCACGACCTCCAAATCGAGCCGCATTTTCAAGATCGCCGATAAACTGATCTGGTCGTGTGGGATTGCGCGTGTAGCCTAGACTCTGGAACGTGCGATGTTGCGCCGCGAACGTCGACTCGCTGATGGCCGCTTCCTCGGCGAATCCAGTCGGGACATTCTTTCGCTTGATACCATTTCCTGGACCTGAGCCTTTAAATGGGTTGACGGGGCCCTGGGAGGGACGTGTGAGATCATCGTATGTGGCGTTGAAGGTGAGGGCTTGAGAAGAGGTATTGGCGAGGGTCATCTGCATATGCGCTTGGTCCTGTAGGGTCGTTAGTCTTATCTGTTCGTAGCTATCGAGGCGCAAAGACCAATTTAATGAGGAGGAAAGGGAGAGTAGTGGGGACCAAACCTCTGTATTCACTTCTGGTGCGGCGACGACCTTGGTTGCGGCCGTCGCAGCGACGTTTGTGTCATCCTCGCTGGAGTCGTAACCAGCGCCTAATAAGGCCGACATGATGGAATTGGGGAATATGCAAGTTATGCAGCCTTCAACGCCTTGTAATAGAGTCGAGTCGAGGCGGAGTTTGGTGAAGGTGGTTGGTGAAGGATGGGAATTTTACGGGTGTCGGGAGAGCCGCGAGGTGAAGGCCGCGGAACCGTCAAGCTCTATCAACCTTATCCCGATGGTGCCTTAACTGGTCTATAGCTCCTAAATCGCGACAATATCTGCAAATTGTGCACTGCATTTGTAAAATCTATCTTTAAACCTAGGATAAAACAAGTGGAGAACCTTGGGTATCGTACGCTCTTCATTGCCAACCGCATAGGAGGTATATACAATTCACAGGCCGAAAAACTGGCTAGATCAACACAGGAAAAGAGTCAAAGACAAAAGCAAATGGCAGAAGAGGTCACATGTACCACTGCGAGTCGATAATAGTCCAAATCAACCCAGCACACCTCTCCGGCCCAAGACACTTCAAGCGAAATGCCTATTACTTCTCACCACTGCACCCCATCGCATTCTATCTCAAGACTGAAAGAAATCGTTGCTCATCCCTAATCATGACAGCTCGAAAGACAAGAAAATGGCCGTGATATACCAAGCTATATGGTGTCGTCGCTGTAATGAGGCCGCCGGGCATTTGAATGCGATACCAAGCCGAAGATAACATTCAGGGAGCACCGATTCAAGATTCCATGACAGCAGTCCATCAACAGGCGGCCCTTCTAGCCGGGACGACCATGGCGCATCGCGTGTTCGGTCTTTTCACGAAGTCAGTGACCCTCATCGCGGATCAGGGCAACGATCATGCTGTAGAGGTAGAAGAAGAACATCAGGAGGTGGAAGCCAAGCTTGATGAACGATTCCTAAAATACGAGTTTGAGTCAGTCATTGCACGGCAGATCGTCAACCAAGAAAACCGACCTTCTTGTGCACATTCAGCTTGCGGAAAATCTCGGTCGCATCTAGGAGGTGCTGGTTATCGTAGATCCTATAATTCGAAAGAGACTCGGGTTAGGCTCGGACTCGGGGTGAGAGGGGCTTGCGACCCGTGAGAGCTTCCAACGTACTTCTTCGCGTTGAACGCCACGAGGGGCAGGTTCAGCACGATGGCGAGCCAGTACCCGTTAATAACGAAGAGGAAGGTCAGGAAAGCGTGGACAGCGGCTTCGGGGATGATATAGGCATTGAGGCGGTTGCAGAGGTCGATGGGGTTGATGTAGTCGCTGGTAAAAGGGGAAGTGTCAGCTTAGATTTCGCATTTGACGTGGACCAAGATGGAATCCAAGGAAAAGAAGCTGGAGAGACTCACCATTCGAGGTCACTGTACATAATCGTGAAGAACACCTGGAGGAAGAGGTTGACGGCGTTGATCAACACCGACAACAGGTAGAGCCACGCTTCGCCGGACATGTTGGGCGCGAGTTGCACGTTCTTCGAAGAGAATGAAGAGGAGTCAATTGCTAGATAAATAGAGGAGATGAGTAAAGTGCCGACGAGAGTGGTTGGGTGGAGGTGCGGTTCGCAGAGGCCGGAATTGGAGATGTTTGTGGGGTGCCCAAGGAAGGCGGAGGAATCGCACAGAGTCAAAGTCCTGGGAGATTAGAGTTCACTCACGAATAATATCCTACTGGATAGTCAAGACAGCAGATAAAGGGAAAAGAACCTGACAGTATGAGGAGGAGACGGTGGATCGAAGCTGGAGGAAGTTGGGATTAGCGAACTGCGCTCGAGCCTGAACGGGCGGTGGGAAGTGGCCCATTAGCGTCACCCGCAAACGGGGCTGGCAACGTACTTGATAAGAGGGAAATTAAAGCTTGAAGACAGTCAAGCTGAAATAATTTGCCAATAATGATGAGAATATCTTCGAGTCGTGAATCGAGGGAGGAATGAGAACAAGCTTTGCAAGCCGAGAGATGACGTCGAACACGTGCATGTTACATCTACTTAATTACCATCTACACTTTTGAATAGAGATAAGAATGAAGACTATCCAGTGTCTATATACAAAATGACAACGTTATGGGTCATAATATACAGGGTCTCATGTACCTCTGAAGGATTAGTCTCCAACGATCTAAAGAATAGAACACGATGCAGAACATTGATACATCACAAGAAACATACTTAAGAATATCAAATGAAACAAAACAAGCAAATGATTACCGCTTCTCGACGAGTAGGAAGTGCATCGCACTGTACGCGATGATGATAAAGGCGCCAGATATCACAGCGAGTCCGATGACATCGCTCCAGTAGGCTTGTGTATCAAATCCAAAGGCACTCAAAATCGATGCTCCAGGGACTTCGATATCCAAACCGTACTTGTGATCAATAAGAGTGAGGAACGTCACTTCGTTGACGATCAAGGCCTCAAAACCATAATGGAAAATGGATAGCTGTTGGGATCATTAGTAACAGGAACTCGACTTCCAAGGTGTTTGAAGGCTTACAGTTTGCAGCCACAATGCTGATTTGGGGATTGCATCGTGATTCAGCAGGAGACCGGCGAAAAGCAAGCTGAAAAGCATGACCAGACTGCCGATGAGGTTGGCAACTCCACCATCCCGGAAAATAATACCAATGAAGAGACAAATGTTGGCCGCGGCAAGATTGAAAAGGACCAAGACAAGCAAGAAGTGGAAGAACGCGGGCCATGCCGGAATCAAGCCTGTCATAGGGTAGACGATGATGCCCATGATGATGGGAGGGATCAACCTCAGAGGAACGATATCAAATACAACCTTGGCCGCAAAGTAGGTGATCGGATGATAGTAACCATTGGCCCGCTCGCGCACGAACAAAAGCCTCTCCGAGGAGAACACATTGAGACTGGTCAGAGTGCTGAAACCAAACAAGGCCAAGATGAAGAAGAAGAGACCGAGACGATTCTGGAAGCCCGAGATGTCATCGGTGAGGCCATAGAATAGGTATCCAGATAGAACTGCAAGTAGGATTGCAATTGCGTAGTGAGTGAGCATCAACATCGGGTTTCGGTATAGATTACGCCATGTTCGCTGAGACAGGATCATAAACTGCCGGATCAGTCCAACTCGGGCATAACCCTTGGATTCTGACAACAGGGGTGTACTCGTCGAGCCGTTGGCAGCCTGGGCGTTCTGAACGGCAGACAAAATTTCGTCGTGCACGAAATGACAAACGTCAGAGTCGGCGTAACTGGCAACCAGAATGTCAAGATCACTTTGGCCGGGAGCCGGAGGAGGTAGCTGATCTGGATCATCAAGGATCTGAGGTGGAACGTTGCCCTGTTGCCGGGAAAGACGATGCCATTGTTGGTTATTCTCAGCCACGTCTAATGTAGCACTCTCATCATCCGTCTTTGGCGTCATTGGGCGTTCATTATTCTGCTTTCGAGAGTAAAGTTGGCGATCTTGTTGTTGTTTTAGAGACACCCGTCGATTGTTCTTGGGTCTCCGGCTCGTTGAGTCACTCGTGTCATCCATGCTCACATTCGAAGCACTGGCAACGGATTTGACTGCCCTCAGGCTACTAGATGCAGTCTTTGGGGGACCAGAACGTCCACTCACAGATGCTACTTCATCCGTGTATGAATGCGCAACGCTAGCATGCATAGTAAGGTCGACTAGGTAATCTGCAATATTGAATCCTGGCGGACACGAATAACCCACTTGGTCAAAGTATTGCTGACAAGAAGAAAAAGGACCAGAGTAGACAGTACGTCCCTCGGCAAGCAGAATGAGTCGATCGAAGAGAGCAACGATGTTCGAGCGCGGCTGGTGGATAGTGAAGATGACAGTGCGATTGTAGGTCTTCGCCAGGGTCACCAGACATTCGACCACGTTGAAAGCGTTGTATGCATCCAGTCCACTGGTGGGTTCATCCAAGAAGAGGATACTGGGACTAGTAACCAGTTCACAAGCGATGCCAACGCGGCGCTTCTCTCCACCAGAGATGCCACGACCTTTGCCTTCTTCCGAGCCAATCAGTTGATCCTTGATATGGTAAATACCCAGCTGCTTTTCAACTTCCAACACTCTTTGCTCCTTGGCTGCTCGGCTCATGTCCCGTGGCAGTCTGAGTAAAGCGCTAGTCAAGATGGTTTCATGGACTGTCAAAGTGGGAAGCATTGTGTCTTCTTGATCGACAAAGCCCACCATACTTTTGAAGTCGCTGTCACCAATTATCTCGCCGTTGACATAGAAATCTCCTTGTACTGTTCCCCGTTTGTTCTTTCGGGCCAGGATATCAAGAAACGAGGTCTTTCCAGCACCAGATGCTCCCATAATAGCGGTTATCTGACCTGGTGTGGATGCACCTTGAATACCTGAGAGAATCTCCTTTCCGTTGAGGATATAGGACACATTGTCCCAATACAAGGCCGCGGGTCGGTAATCCGCCAGGAGCTTGGCAGCTTCGTCATCAGAGTCATCAGAGAGAGACAGGCGAAGGTAGCTACGGCGCGCCGCGCGCCGGGACAGATACCACACCAGTAGAATGACAGCAACAACAAATAGGGAGCACCCTGCAATCACACCAGCAATGAGTGGGGTGTTGATTTTCTTCACGGGACGGGTGTACCCAGGTACACCGGTCTTGTACATGCATTCTCCGGAGTCACAAGAGAGGAAAATACTGGGATCACCAAAGACACCAGCAATCAAACCGTTCATCTGCGGTTCCGAGAAAACACTCTTCGTACCCTGGGGAGTCGATGTGGTCTCGAAGGTGGCTGGGCCCTTGATCAACTGATCCAGGAAGTCTCCAAGGTTGATAGATCCATTCTCACCGCAGAGGAAACGGCCGGGAATACACGAACATTGGAGATGCTCGCACTCATAGTGAGTGGTATTGGAGTTGTAGTCCGATTCCATGCTCCACTTGCAAGTGTCCAGACCGCAGTAGAATGACTCTTTCTGATCGACCCAGAACTGGAAGCTACAGGTTTTATCCTCGTCTTTGCAGCCGAATGTCACTTGCGGTTTGCGGCCATCGAGTTGCTTCAAGATCATATGATTGGTCACATCACACATCTGGAAGTTCTCCTTGACCGTGACACCTTGTTTGTAACACACACCTCCTTCACGGTCGGGCATCATAGCATTGCATGCATAATCAGAGTCGCAAACATTGCAGTTGATGCCCTTCCAGCCAGGCTTGCACTGGCAGGTGTCGGTAGTACGTTGCGGTCGGTTGTCGTCGTCGGCCAGCGAACCACACAGAGGAACCGAGCAGTCATCCCCTCCAAATCCAGGAGGACAGGAACATTTTCCGTTGAAGCTGTTGCACTCCGCAAAGTGCGTACAGTTGTCGTTGTTGAGCTGGCAGTTGAAGCAAGCTGGGCACTCGGGGCACCCGGGTGGTGTATCGCCGAGGGAATCGTATCGAGGGACCAAGCTAAAGTCGGAGACTCCGCTCCATTCTGCAGCCGATGCCAATAGAGGAGTCAAAGTGACGAGGGTAAAGGGCAGTGCGCGGGTCAAGCGCATCTTGGGGAAAGGATGGAGGCAGCCCTGATGCGCGATACCAGCAACCAGAAAAAGGAACGCGGAAGCTGATCACCGAATAGATCAGAATAAGCTATCAGACACGGACATCCATAAAGGTGAGGTGTAAAGAAGTACAAGTATGGTTGAAGGTCGGAGGCGGAGTGGAGAGGTGAGATTGGCCCCAACGATGACGCGGGCGGAGAGAGGCTGGGCTGCATGGACGCCAGGAACCCGCGACTTAGGTGACACTCTTATGCACGATTAACCCTGTGATTATGAAGGGGATGTCTTATTATGTTGCTAATTAACAGAAGTTTTATGGTCTTTCTCACATCTGTGTCCTTATTCGTAGTCATAGCTAACACTATCTTGGCCTCAATGCGGGGAACACGTGATGCTCGGAGAAGCTACCATAGAATTGGTCCCAGTACACACCAACCCGGACAAGCGAGACAAAAGTCTTAGGATAAGTCTGGACAGCTTTGAGCCTGGAAGCTCTTTGATCATATCCCCTGAATCTCAGTGTACCCACGACCAGACGCCACCATGGTCAAAATCGAGGCCTTCGCAGTTGAACAGGTACCTCCCCGCATTACTCGATTATTCGGTGGCACTCCTCTGTTTCTCACTGTGATGTGAGAAAAGTGACAATTGTTGACCAGAGTACAGTGGATGGACAAGTATGAGACCATTGCCAAGTATAACGCCGCCGAGACCTGTTGTGCATCCATCTCCGTCGACGATCTCCGCGCGTTGTCCGAGGACAAGGAGTCCAACCCTTTGACCGAGCTTCAATCTACCAAACTCACATATGGAGCAATCCGTGGTTCAGATAAGCTGCGCACCACTCTTGCCAATCTGTATTCCGCGAAGACACCCGCCCAGTTACCAAAGGATAACGTCTTGATAACTGCTGGCGCAATCCAAGCAAACTTCTTGTTGCTGTATACATTAATTGGCCCAGGTGACCATGTAATCTGCCATTACCCAACATATCAACAACTCTACTCTGTGCCTGCATCATTGGGAGCAGAGGTCAGTTTGTGGAAGTCCAAAGAGGCCGATGGGTGGCAATTGGATCTCGAAGAGCTGAAAAGCCTTATTCGTCCCAACACTAAGCTGATTATTATCAAGTATGATATCCTCTCGCACAGTCCATATCATATGTCTAGCTAACAATAATTTTTTTCATAGCAACCCGCAAAACCCAACTGGGGCCATCATCCCACGCGAGACTCTCGAGCAATTGGTAGATATCGCGCGTGAGAAGTCTATCATAATTCATGCCGACGAAGTGTATCGTCCAGTCTTTCACGGAATTACTCCCATGGACTCTAAGTTCCCGCCTTCTCTTATCTCGCTCGGATACGAACGCACAGTGGTGACAGGATCGGTTTCCAAAGCCTACAGCCTGGCGGGGTTGCGGGTTGGCTGGATTGCCTCGCGCGATAGGTCGATTATTGAAAACTGTGCTGATTCACGCGATTACACGACTATCTCAGTCGGTCAGATTGACGACGCGATTGCCAGTTTCGCACTATCACCAGATTGCATTCACAATCTTTTGAAGCGAAATATCGACTTGGCCCGAACCAATCTTGCGATCTTGGAGAAGTTTATTGAAGACCATCGGTGGGCTTGTGATTGGGTCAAGCCACAGGCAGGAACCACTGCATTTGTGCGCTTCAACAAAATGGGAAAGCCTGTAGATGATGTTGCTTTCTGCGAGATGGTACTGGAACAAACCGGTGTGATGCTCGTGCCCGGAAGCCTTTGCTTTGGTGGCAGAGAAGATTTCAAGGGCTATGTTCGTATTGGGTTTGTTCCTGAAACAGAAGTTTTGGAAAAGGGCTTGGAGGCATTGCGCGTGTTTATGGAGGATGGATATGAGGAGGTTCCGGTAGTGAAGAAGTTAGCCCTGAGATGATGCCCTACACAATGACGCGCCGTGTAAAGAGACTCACATCATAATGCATTCCTCCATATACTATACTGCAATGCACTTAACTCGATCAGTCAAGGCATTCTCTATGAACATGACTCGCATCCAGGTTTAAAACCTGCTTTTCTCACCCACAACCCAAACTATTTCATCAAGTGAAGCTGCTTCCTGGTGTGGTCGGGTCTAAGATTTCATCGTGGATACAAATGAGCCCACAGAGCTCTCTCCAAATTCGGTGGTATCATGGCCCCAACCCTGGACTTACCTGGGTGCGGTTTTTCCTGTTTATCGGTCCTTGCTCTCGCCCCTCTCTCCCAGTTCTCAATATTTGGGATGGCTTTAAGCGTGGAAAGTGGTTTACTACCCGTATTTATTTGTTTCTGGGTTGTAGGGTTGTCCGATTGGCACTGTTGCGGTGTGGGACAATTCTATCGGGGTCATAGGAAGAAGGGGCCGTAGGAAGGCAAGACAACGGGCAGAGCATCTTAACACGGCGGTGGATTCGTTATGAACCTTGAAAACCGCAGCCCTTCGGCAGGGATCTTCCAGGTCCGGAGAATATGTGCCATCTGCTCTCCAACTTTGGCAATATCATCCTCGAGCTTTTGAGCAAATGTAGCCTGCTCAACTTGGCTTGGAACCCGCGGCGCTTTCTGCTCCTGTTTCCTGGAAGCTCTGGATCGCGCTTAAAGAAGCCATACGCCCAGATTTTATGCAGGGGTGCACGAGGCCGTTCTGAGCAATGACAAATTACTCCATTCGCAGCACCTTGAACTTCTTGTACGGTCGGCGTCGCCATAAATGCATCTTCAACACGGATTAAACTACATAAGGCACTTTCCTGGTATATGTTTAATTTATTGTTGGTGCCGGAGCGGCCATGTCGAGGTCCGTGGCCCTTGAATCTTCGACCCAAGGCGACGTCACAAACCTTGAATTCCTTTGCCAATTTGCGCCTTGTATCGCCAGCCCGATGATGGAATTATAGCATTCTGAAGTCGAGATTCTTCTTCAGAGCTTAGGTCCGGCATTGTGGGGGCGAGTTATGCAGGGTTCAAAATGGAGATCAAAGGGAAATAAAAGGAGAGGTACCAAAGTGTTCGATAGAGCTTAGGCGATGACGTATGATCAACAAGCTCATTGGGATCCACTTCATAGATTTATACATCACATCCTCTTGGCGGATAGGAAATGGACTCAATATATGATCAAAATTAGGGACGTATAGGACTAAAACTGGCTGAATTGGGCATAGGGTTCCAACCAGCCCTTTGGAAGTTGAGTGATGCATTCCTGAGGTAAGGCTTCAATGTTAGGTACCCTGAATATGGTGAAATCGTGTAAAGTGAAGAAAGACGTCGCTTCTCTCGAGGGCATAAAAAAAACCCCCAAGCTAAAAGCGTAACGTTGGCTTGAATGCATAGAATTCATAGAACGTGCACTAAATATGCCGAGTTATGTCATCGGTGCCGTGCCGAGGCAACTTCCCAATCTAACCCAGCTCACCTTTATAACCTCTCTCTCCTCCCTGCGTCCCGAGGTGTCCACTTAGTTTGTGCCTCTAATGGACTTTTTTGGCCCTCAAAGGTGTCAAGCGAAAAACACCGACACAGCGCTCCTTTCCCTAGCCACGCGTACGCCACATCTCAGACTGGGACCCGCGACTTCGCCTACGAGTTCTCTCTACCCCTCTACCACTCATCGTAGTCTCCTTCTCTAAGTCCCATCCTAGGCACCATTCACAATGTTGCCTTCGCTTCCCGGTGAGTTACGGCTTGTTTGGTAACACAGTACCCGCTAACAAGCTACACTTATGCGCAGACATTCCCTTGGGTCTTGCCCTGCCTGCCGTGGCGACAACGCTGGCATATTTGAATGCAAAGTTTTCACTCTCCTACGATATCAATATGATTAGATCGCTTTTCAAGATGAGCATGAAGCTACGCTTTGCTGAACGTGGGGACCGCCTGAACCTCTTCTACACATTGGAAGCCTATGCGCTTGCCCCCGCAACTGCCAATAGCCCTTTTATTGTCTACAATGGAAAAACATGGACTTTCCACGAGACATATCTTATGGCGCTGCGTTACGGATCCTGGTTCAAGAAGATCCATGGCGTTAAGGGCAAGGACATTGTCGCTATCGACTTCATGAACTCGTCCACATTCCTCTTCATGTTGCTTGGACTTTGGAGCATTGGGGCAGTTCCAGCGCTCATCAACTATAACCTGGCTGGCAAGCCGCTCACCCACTCGATACGGGTATCCACCGCAAAGCTCCTGATCGTTGATCCGGATGTTAGTCATTGCTTCCCGGCTGAGCAGCAGAAGGTTTTGACTTCACCGGGCTTCCGGGACGACAAGAGCTCGGTCGAAATCGTATTCCACACCCCAGAGCTAGAAGCACAAATAATGTCATTGGAAGTTACCCGGGAAGATGACAAGGTGCGCAACGGTTTGACTCCCCGCGACATGGCTATGTTGATCTACACGAGTGGCACCACTGGACTTCCGAAACCCGCCATTGTCAGTTGGAAGAAGTGCTGGTCTGGCAGTGGATTCATCACAAGTTGGATGGGTGTAACCCCTTCGGACAAGTTCTTCACATGCATGCCTCTCTACCATAGTTCTGCTGCGGTGCTTGGTTTCGTTACTTGCTTGATGAGTGGATCGACTCTGATCCTTGGTCGCCGGTTCTCAGCGCGTAACTTCATGAAGGAGGCCCGTGAGAATGACGCCACAATCATTCAATATGTGGGCGAAACACTACGTTATCTCTTGGGCGTGGCCCCTGAAATAGATCCGGTCACTGGCGAGGACCTTGACAAGAAACACAATATCCGGTTAGCATTTGGAAATGGTTTGCGCCCTGACATCTGGAACCGCTTCAAAGAGCGCTTCAACGTCCCTACCATCGCCGAGTTCTATGCAGCTACGGAAGGCACTGCGGGTTCATGGAACATCTCGTCCAACGATTTCTCCGCAGGCGCCATCGGCCGAAACGGCGCCATCGGAAACATCGTTTTCGGCCGTTCAACTGCCATTGTGGATGTTGATCATGAGACCCAGGAGCCTTGGCGTGACCCGAAGACTGGTCTCTGCAAGAGGGTCCCACGAGGTGACCCTGGCGAGTTGCTATTCGCAATCGATGCAAAAGATCCCACCGCAGCTTTCCAGGGCTACTTTGGAAACAAGAAGGCCACAGAAAGTAAGATAATCCGTGATGTGATCAAGAAGGGCGATGCCTACTTCCGAAGCGGTGACATGGTTCGATGGGATAGAGATGGCCGTTGGTTCTTCTCTGACAGACTGGGTGATACATTCCGATGGAAGAGCGAGAATGTGTCTACTGGCGAGGTCTCAGAGGTCTTAGGTGTCCATCCCGAAGTGTACGAAGCCAACGTCTATGGTGTAGCACTTCCAAACCACGATGGCCGTGCCGGATGTGCAGCCATAGTATTCAAGCAACAAATGGCTAGCGGCAATCTCTCTGATCCTGCACTTGAGCCATCAAGCGAGGTACTCGCCAGCTTGGCTGCTCATGCCCTCAAGAACCTACCTCGATTCGCGGCTCCCTTGTTCCTGCGTGTCACACCTGAGATGCAGTCAACTGGCAACAACAAGCAGCAGAAACACGTCCTGCGGACTGAAGGTGTGGATCCAACCCTTGTCTCGAAGAAGGACCTGATCTATTGGCTTCAAGGTGACACCTATGTTCCCTTTGGACAGAGGGACTGGGACCGCATGAATGGTGGCCAAGTTCGACTTTGATTCTCCTGGTTTTTCTTGACTTGTTCCTCTTTCTCATCTCCGTTTCATCATTCCTAGAGCACATCGTATATTTGCCTTTACCTCCTAGATACCCTCGACAGCCCTCAATTCATCAATTTGTACACGCCTCTTTGTTGTCGTTGGTTTAGTCTAAATAAAGTTTTATGTAAGACAATAATCCACGGCACTGCACTGGCCCATCACCGCGATCGGGGCTAGCGCCTTGGGGTTAACTTAAACTCTATCATTTAGAATGCGTCGCTAGTTCCACTTCTACTTGATTTTCGATCCCATTCACCCATTCACCCACTCATAGCACTTCTAAATCGGAATAACAGCCCTTGGAGCAGACATTCAAGATGGCCTACGACCGCGAGGAATTTGCCGCTGTCGTGACCTTGTTCTACCACTCCCTTGAAATACTAAACATGAAGGATCACAACAAGATTCAAATTATGAGCGAATAGCCAAATATAGTAGCATCATACATCCGCGGTAAATAATGCCACAACACCGTTAGCCAGGCAAGTATTTGTACTCAGAAAGGCTCCTTGGAATTGCGAGAAATGTTCCCAATGATCGCATCAAGTGCATTCTTCAAAGCAACCCATGCTTCGGGACTTGTTGAGCCCTGGTGATTCTTAAACATACCAAGTGCAAGCCCTTCCTCGCGGATGTTTTCATACTCAGTCTCCCTTTGACGAAGAGTGTATATCAACATTTTGATAGAGTGTATCTTGTCCGTGTGCTTTATCTCTAAAGCCTGTTTGTAGTCCATCTGCCAGGTCGCACATGGGTTGAATAACGAATGAATTATCTGACGCAGAGTGATCTGCAACCCGATTCTCTCTTTTTCTTTAACCCAGCCCCACTTGGCGGGATGAAACCCTTGAACGACATATGTGAAATGGGCTCCAAAGTAAGCTCCAGATACACTTTGCAACTTAGCACCGTCCATCGATGAGCGTAGCTTCTGAGTATCATTGTGTTCGAACTGACCCCAGCGTACTTTCTTGGTAGGTTTCCAGCATTGACAAGAGAGAATTATAGGCGGTTTGAACTCTTGAATAAAATCAAGTGTCAGCTGGAACATATCTTTGATATATTTTGCTCGCTCGTTGGGGTGCTGATCTAGCCATTCGTCGGTCAACAGAGGGAATAGATCGATGATTATGATGTCGTCTAGTTCAAGTCCGATTTCATTGAGGGTGGCTTGAATCCAACGTAGGGTTTTCGTTTTCCTGACCATCTCATTGTATTCAAGATGGTCATTCTTTGGATTCTGGAGCAAGATACACGGGAAATTTCGAACGCCGCATATCAGTCTTCGAAAGTTTTTAAATCGGTGTTCTGGCCATTCATTTTCCTGGCAGATGCTTTCGACTTTGGTGAAGAATGGATGAGATGGATCGATACGATCGAGGGCCCGCTGGGAGTTGAGGTTAGGCTGAAGTGACCTTTTGAAAAGCTGGTCTAGTGGGCATTGTATGGATGGTGAAACTTTGAGGGAAGGGCCCGGTTGGCTGCTAGTAGGTCTTCCTGATTCACTTGGGTTCTCTTGCAACATCAAGCTATTGAAGTCGCCGCTGAGACCCTCTTCTGTATCGTTGATCATATTGACTGGATGTTCAAAGTTATCACTCGGTGAAAAACGAGACGCGTGAAATATAGAGGCTTAGAGGTTCAGAAATTGTTAGGAAAGTCAGCTGGGGAAAGAGAAAAACGGGACGCGAGATGCGTCTTATAGTCTTATTGTAATCTAATATATAACGGCTGTTCAATCATTTCAGTGTTGGTATCTCGGACTTGCCAGCTTCCAGACGTTTGGGTGTCTAAGCAAAGCGCAGTCAATCTGGAGGCTGAGCCTCCATGGTCGAAAGGTACAAGCAGTGCCAAAATATACGAAACATGCTCTGTGGTGAATGAACCAACAACGGTGTTGGGAGACCAATGAGACTCAGCTCATGAAGGCAACAGTTGGTTATCTATTAAGTTAATTCTGTCATAGGCAGTCATCTGCACGATTAATAGTTCAGTGACCCTACGATCACGGCCGAAGTCTATTGTATCTGTTGGGAGGCACGAGGCAGACTCGTGTGGCTGATTTCACGCGTCGGGAGCAGCTTGCAGTTCAGGGCTGATGTGACGGGGCTAATAGGAGGGCAAGGGCGCTAAACTCTCCCTCAAAAAAAGTATAAAATAAAATAAAATAAAATAAAAAGGAAACTAACAAGAGGCTCCTTTAGCGTGTGGCTGATAGTTAAATCGGGTGAAACGCAGAGTATGGGTTACTGTGCTGCCTGGTGATTCTCAAATAGCGCACTCACCATTTCTATAGCGCACTCACCCCTCTCACCCCAGGTCGCGCGACGCTAAAGCGGCGCTCACCCATTTCTCACCCGGGCGACACCCACCCGAATACTGGCCGCGCATGAGCCACACGCCATAGTTAGGTCTGATCTATACAGCCCATGTAATTCTACGTCCTATTCGACAATGAGTTTTCGACTCACACCGTCTTGGCAGTTGTGCATCGGCTGAGGTTCATCAATCATTACGACCGTATCGTTCTCTTAGACGCCGGTTCAATGATCGAATCCGATTCGACCAAGGCACTGATGTCAACGGATTCACATTTCAAGAGACTTCATGACTCTGGAATCTTGTGGAGATCAACACTTTGAAATTGATATCTAGGGCTAGTAGGTCTTATAAATAGCAATTTGCAGTTAAGTGATAAGATAAGGTCGTGGTTGTTAGGATATAAATACAGGATACATCGCATTTACTATGTGTTTTGGGGGTGGTTACTTGCTTATAATGGCCATCCCCTTACCGATTACGTTAGGTATTTTTCTAACAGGGAACATGGGATCGTGAGTTAGAGTCTATAAACTAGCTCAAGGATTTAATGTCTCGGAGCTACTCAGAGGGAAGATGATTTCATATAGGATATACTATATCATTGCGGACAATCTGGAGAATGTGATCTTGGAGTAAGAAATAAACATTGAAAAACTTTTGTAGACTAGCAACCTTTCAATCGCAGCTCAAGAACTGTCTCACGTTAATGATAAAAAAAGACTGGGGGTTGGAAGAAAGAACGAAGGGAACTTAAGACACTTACAACTGGAGATGGCCGCCCCTATTTGCGATCCGTTCCTTTAGATTTACGTCTCTCCCAGAAAAATCACCGCGGAAATCTCCTTCAAGCTCGGCGCGTAGTATAGGCTCTCTTGTTTGCTGTTCATAAGCAAACCTTATGCTGCCCGGACGAGCTCGTCTGGTAAAGTCATGCCCGCCCCAGATAAAATTGCCTGATATGGTGTTAGCACCACCCCTTCCACAAGGCTAGAAGGAGGATCTTACCGTGCTCATCTCCAAGGCAACCATCGAGGCTCATTTCGCTATAAGTGTAGTCCCATTCATTGTTATTATACCGACATTGGCCAGATAGGATGGTTTCACCCCAAGGGGTTTCCTGGATGCGAAGGTCTTTCGTTCCATTCATAATTGAAAGATTGTTGAGTATAGAAGGTTCCGATTTAAAATTATCGTTAAGGCTTATGATACTCCAACCATGGGCTAATGCAGATTTTATAGCAACGAGATACGCCGAAGCCTCCACATGCAGTATTGAAAATCATCTTCGAAAGGGTACTTTTGTCTTTGTCTATGACTACGTGGCTTTAGATGCAACTCGTGATGACGATATATCTATACTGCATCAGACCCGGACTAATCTAGGCCGTTAGATAAAGTGTGTTAAGTGGAAACTATCTGCTAATCCGACTGGACAGCCATGGAGCATTGCTTCGGATACTTAGTATTTATATATTTCTGTTTGAGCAACTACCTAAAGCGCCGAAACGAAAAGCCTATATTCATTTGATACATGGATCGCTCAAGCCTGGCGTTATGCTTAATCAGAACCGTTCCAAGAAGAGTCTCGGCCCGTCTCTTATTATGTCTCCACGAAAAAAGTCCAGATTAAGAAATGCCTGTAGCTGCGCAAAAAAATAATTCTAGACTTTGTGCCGTAATAAACTTATATTAAGTATTGATTTATCATCAATTGTTACATTGACAGTCGGGAGGCAGGGGTGTCTGCACCAGGGTCGAAGTCGGCCTAAGAACGCTGCTCATCCTCCGGATGCTAGATGACCAGTTCGGGTGGCCTGACTCTAGAATGATACTAGCCAAGGTTGATTTCAAAAATACGAACCACAGTCGGCTGAATTTAGCATATTATACGATTCCAGTTGATTTTCTATCCTGATAAGTCTTTCCTGGGAACGCAAAGCCTAGGACTGCCAGGCTTCGCACGCGGTTACCTGATTGACTGAATGGCCTGCGGGTCTACCATCTGAGTTCGTAGAAAGCGAAGAGTTTGATATCAAATTTGTCCACGTAAACGCCATGATATAATAGATATTCAAATCCCTCAACGCTGGATCACGGCTGCTGAGGCCGGTTAGATTTCCCTACCACATTCTTTCTGCCATGCTTATTATTAAATATCAAACTGCTGTTCAATAGTCTTACTGAATCTACACTACTACTGTGGTTCATTCGTATGGTGAGGCACGCGGCAGCAAAATATTAATAACATAAAATTATTTACGCTAATTGCCTATACTTGGGTTGGCCAATAACTTCTCAGGCCGTAGAGAGAGTTACTTAGAAGACCTAATATTATTAGATCTGAAATCACAACACCTACAAGCTATAGAAAGTTGACACAAACCTAGGTAGGCTTTTAATCTCTTTATTTATGATCAGAGACAATCGAAGCTGTGATTCATCGGAATACTGAGTACTCCGTAATCATATTCCTCAAAACCGACCAAAGATCTAGGCTCGAAGCGAAGATTCTATTGACGTAAAAATAAGCTTGTGGAGCCGTAATGCCACCTGATCGATCACAATAATAGTCAGTTGGAAAATTGTATCATTGTTAGTAAGTGAGTCTTTTCTTTCCGGTGAACTTTTCAGTCCAGACAAAAGCCGGCACAACTGATCGGCTATTTGATCCGAGGTATCAAGCAGCATATTCCAAAATTCTAAAAATTGGTTCGTGAAGCCGGCCGCAAACAGCCGTGAAAGTTACGGGCCCCCAAGCATGTATTTCGCGGTTCCGAGGACGACGGACTGCGCCAAGACTTCAAAAAAAGTAGATGATCGTGGGGCCCTTTCGGCAATCCCTTGCCTTAAAATGAGCTGTAGGTTGCAATGTCTCTAGTAAGTTATAGTAGAATGTCTGGCAGATGTGGATGACATAAACATGATGCATTTATGTCATGAACAAGCTGTGTCAGCCGTCAACATGATATCGAAGCTTGTGTTATAAAGGTACGACGGGTACAAAGAGCCACCGAGAGACAGGACCCGATTTTTCATGAGCGTATTTTACCTGCAAGTACGGAGGCAGATAGCGGCCACGGCCTGGATGTCTTATTACGAGTTCATTTCGCTCACCTTTGTCTTTTAAAATAATGTATGCAAAAGTTTGAGGGACAAAGATATATAAGAGATGGAGATTCGTAAGAAGCACGGAAGCAAGGATGAAGAAGTGTTTAATCTCTTGCTAAACGTTTTGGGGACAGTGATTTCTAACAAGGCACTGAGGACGCACGAAGGCCTGCGACTAATAATAAGCAGAAAACAGAAGTGCTAACGCAGAAAAGGAAACGAATCATGCTGAGGGTAGTTGGCTGACGGAAGAGAAGGAAATGTATACGGTGCTAAGCATGAAGCTATTCAGACCTTCTGAAACAGGCGTCAACAGCAGCAAACTGTAGTGTGCAATTCCAGTGAGCGCATCACAACTAGTTCTTTAATGTTGATGGATGGAGAGTCGGAAGCAAGAAAGGCAGATAGCTGAAGATATCAAGAGAGAAGAAAGTAAAGCCATATTATACCTAGAGCTGGGAATGATTAATCCGGCATATGCTCTTTACAAGGGATCCGAGGATATTGTTCCAATCCTGGGCTCTACATAATGAATTAAGCTACTAATTTTTATTATGATCTAGTCTTATGCCTTTAAGTTTACAAAATGTAGTCTTAATAGTTAAGTACAAGCTACCGATCAATCAATCAATCAATCAAAGTTCTATTAACCTGTTGGAGCCTAACTAGATACAAGCTACCGACTAAGCCACTAAAACGCTTTATAGTTACCGCAAGAATATAGAATACCTTTTTTGCGGCCTTTTTTTCGGTAACTATTACCACGATTATAGATATTAGAGGGTACGTATATAGTCTAGAAGCGCTCTCGCACTATTTACCGGCCGGAAAGAAGGAGGGAGGCGGGGTGGGAGAGCGCGCTGCTCCAAGGGAGTCCACTGAGAATATCTATTTTCGAAGCGATTCCTTTTCGATTACTGTTAATTTATAAATATTGGTGCTTGTTTCTCTGCGTTTGTATTAATTTTTAGGCAGCGGCGTAAAGAGGTCTCCGGTATACTAAAGCGACGCTCTACCTCCCGAATAGCGCTAATTTCTTGATTCTTGTCGTTACGGCGGCCCCCTGCGCCGCAACTACCTGATGGGCCACGGAAAGCCAATGAACCTATCTGTCAGCAGAGTAACCTGCGACATCTGACACATGGTGAATCGAAGCCATGCTCGGTTTTCCGGTCACCGTCCCGCGAAGTACCGGGTAAATTTATATGATTTCCTCTAGTAAAAAGAGTGATCTAGGCACTCTTAGAAGTAGTACCGAAGAACAGTACAAAATGATGATTGAAAAGCTTGACAAAGTAAGTTACGGCTAACTAGTTAGTCAAAAAGTTCTTCCTTGTATAATTCTAAGTTTATTAGACCAATCTAGCAACTGCTTACCGAAGTGACTGCCTTATGTCTGTTTGGATTTTGAGTGCTCTATTTTCTGTCCCCTCGACAATATTGTCTGACACGGCAAGCTCTAAGACCTCTAATTTAAGACCAGAAATTTGCGATTTACATCGTCCGATGGAAATTATTCTGAACACAATCACATAGCAGCTAGCATTTGGAGCGATTCATGCAAAAGATTCAACCTAAATAAACAAATATACTACGAGGCTGAACTCAGAAAGTGGTGGGTCTTAGGGTGGTCCGCCCCCACTTCATCCGTCCACATGCACCTAAGTTATCTACGAGGCTGGGGCCAGAAGACTCACGAGTCATGGGTATCCTCAACTGACGTGATTTCCAACTTTCAGTTGCCCAAGTCGGCCCCCCCGGCGCGGTCCGCATTCCTATGTTCTTATCCCTTAGGCACCCGCAAAACTAGATATCAATGGCCAATGATGAAGAGAGTACAACTATGTTTAGCGTCACTGCTGCATCTCGCGCAGAACAAAAGTCCCACACCCCTTGTATCTGTCTCGAACAAGAGCCTATCAATAGCCGCTGAGAACCAACGGAGGACTAATAACCCCTCTTTTCGCGAAAGCCAGATGCAAACACAGCCCCGAGGCCATCGTCTAGCATGCCTTACGCCTAGTGCCTGCCAATCGTCATTGGTATCTGTCCTCAGGCATCTCTAATTCCATCCACTTCGGCGCTGTCTAGTTTCTATTCTGGGGGTTGCGCCACACTATTGTGGCAGAGCAGCGTCCCATGTCTACAGGGAGACTCCAAGGCTCCACGCATGTATAGCCCGAAGCATTTAAAGAAATAGATCTCCTGGTCTAGTGGCCATAAAGCAATCGAAGAGAAGCTCTCCATACCCAACAGCGTTTCCCGATCAGTTGTCTCTGTATTCACGAATAAATTCATAATGCCTTCTCGACATTCCTACGTCGCAAGTTCACCCTTGGCCCCTCTATCCGAGATCATCAAGCTCGAGCCGGAGAAAGAGCCATGGTGTGCCGGTTACGCTCCTTCACAGGGCCGTCGCTGCCACGCCCGCACAAATGCACGAGGTCGCAGCTCAGCAATGATGCTTCTCAACGAGGGTACCAAAGACCTTCGAGCCGGTCGCAGCATCGATACACTGCTAGAAGATCTAGCTCCTCATGTCCTATGCACAAGGTTCCATCAAAGCCAAGCTTCGGATCTTACGCGTCGTTGGAAAAGACAAGTCCGTACATACCTCGATTCACAGGTCCCTTCGACACCATCTGCAAGGCCGATGCGGCTATCATCCCGAAGTATCTATCGGGAGACTGCTGAAGACGACATTGAGGAGAGAACTGCCCTTCTTTACCAAAGACTTCATGATATTACGGAAGAGGCCAGGCGCCTCGAGGTCGCTCAATATGGCTTATCAATTACTGCGAACCCTCCTATCCATCGCGAGGGTAGAAACACAAGCGTAGTTGTCGGTTCCAGAAGCGCGGGAAGCGTATCGAGCAGAAATACTCCCCAACCAAATCTCATTGATAGAACAGTGAGAAGTCGCTCAACAGAATCTCCCAATCAGTCAGCAATTACTGTACCTCGACCAGCGCAAGCTCAAGTCAGTCGTCAAACAAGGGCGGTCTCTGTTTCGAGCCCAAGGCCAGCGACCTCGCCAACTGTGGTTCGCGTCTCCAGCAGCACCAGGAACCAGGCCCGCCGGGATGTAACGCCACAGGCCAATCGCCGCGAGGTTGAAGGAGAATGTGGGATCTGTTTGTGCAATTTGCAAATTTCGCAACAAGATTTGGACGCGGATGAGGAAGAGGAGAGCGAGCACAGTGACGACGATGATGACGATGACGACGAAGACGATGATGATGAGGAGGAGGAGGAGGAGGAGGAGGAGGAGGAGGAGGATGATGATGAAGATGACGAGCAAACTGAAGCCGAAGATAAGGATGAACACCAAGATGAAGAATTGGTATGGTGCAAGGCACGCTGTGGAATCAACTTCCACAAACAATGCATCGACCAATGGCTCCAAACAGCTCCCGCTCCCACATGCCCAGCATGTAGAAGTCATTGGAAACACTGAGTGCGTGAACATTTTATTTATTTATTACATACCACTTTCGAATACCAATATATCATAATTTGATAAATCACACATGAACCAATAAACTTATGTTATTCAACCTAATCACAAGAGGTACATTTGCCGTGTTCTTCTTCTTCCAGATATAGATCAATGTCATCTTCTATCGTATAAATGAGTAGTGAGTAGCAGACATGGTAAATGTGGTAGTTCAGGAAGTCTTCAATATACTGCTGCCTTACTAAAGACGAAGAGAAGTCTCTCCGGCAGCAAAAGCAGGAACTTTCAATGGCGACATAGTTGAACAAACCACCCAGGATGCGGCTTCAAAGTCCGAGCAACTTATTTGACTATAGTCCAAAGGGCGCCCTCAAAAGTGTTCAGCTCGACTACCCTGGGGCTTGTACCATCTGTAGGGCATATGACCGCACTTTCCGGGACTTTGGCTCGACCAGAAATTCTAAACAAGTTGGTCCGTGGTGCTTGGTAGATGAGCTTGTGAATTATTACCGCTTAAATTGGGTGTCTGACCGGATATTTTTCAGAACAATCATGATTCGAGCCCTAAAGGCTGTCTATATCGCTGTTCCTATTCTAAGCCCCGACACCCTTTCCTCTCACCTGGCACTTGGAAGCGAGTGTTGAAGGCGAGGAGGAAAGGGTCTCCTCCTCTTTGACAACAGGCAAAGAAGGCATCGAAAATGTTATCCCTGGGCGACACAGCTTATCTAGACGTTCTTGTTCCCGTTCCTCGCTTTTCAGAATCCATTGCTCCTCGCCATCTTTCATATGTTTCTCATACGGCAGTGTCGCCATCCAAGCTGACCACTTGCGGACAACTCCTATTGCAATATCCTTGGAGACTTCAAACCATTCTAGGTGTAATTTATCACAACCAGGGCACTTGTGCTCGATTCTTCTGTGGTGATACAGTTCCAGATGCACCAGAGCTTCAACACGCGATATGTGTGGAACTTGTTGCACATCAGGCATATTCTCGTCCTTATTCTTCCCCGATTCCGGGAAGTAAATCTCCATGGTCTTTTTGCACTGTTTATTCCATTGTTTCAGGCGGCGGGATACGTTTCCAGATCGCCCAATTTTCAAGTGGCCAAAGTTCCCACGTTGCGAGAAAATGTACATCGAGCCCTGATATTTGATATCACTTTTTTTGAGGGGCCTGGTCAGAAGCTTCGCAAGCTCTTCGGATATTGTCCCAGATAAACCTTTATTGACGTAAGGTTTAAAATCCTGAATTGGGTTGACCGGAGGCAGCTCTGTTTGAGCAATTTTGCCAACTGCAGTTTGCAGGAAAGAGGAAGGTGATAGTTGAGACAGCGCCGCACGGCCTAAGAGACGAACCCAGCAAATAAGAGCCAATAAACGCTCATTCTCAACTGGGAAGATAGATTCATAGTCTTGGATCTTTGCGAGCTCTTGAAATTCTTCTCTCCAGGTTTGAATTTCTCGAAATGCGACCTTCCGATGTGTTGTGCAGAATACCACCTCTGTTAGCTGTTGAATGACCGGTAGAAGTACGCTGGGTTTGAAGGTGGCCAGGCTTTGGAGATGCGCTGAAAAAGGTCTGGTAGGACGATGATTTTTGCATCTCTGGCCCAGGGTTGTCCGAGCCGGACAGCTCCTGCTATTTTCCCCCAAGTGCTGGAGCAATTCAAGCGGTATAATTTTGAGAAGCGACTTTTGAGCCGCACCCACTCCCTTTCTTCCACGCGAAAATATGGAGTCAAGTTCAACCGATATAAAAGGATCTTGGTTGTCTTCTCGCTTCGTTCTTACGTGCAGCGGAGAATTTATTTTGTGTTCGTGAGGCAAGTCCTCACCAGCCCTGTCAGTCGGAGTTTTCAGCTGTTCACTATCATCTGTGACAGTGGTTTGTGACCTTGAAGTCTCCTCCGACCCAGGATCCTGCTTGACAGCATACAATCGCGCTGTTTGGGGCCCAAGAAGTATTGTTTCGGGGTCAGAGAACTCCGTGTTGATCTCACTAACAATTGGCAATTTCCATAACGCAGAGCTCGTCTGCCGGATGCGCTTTGTTTTGCTTGATCTGAAGAAAACAGAAAGCAAGCTAATATCCTCCGGTGATGACGGAGTCAGAACCATCATCTGGCTGGCTTCACCAGGAGTTTTGCCGGGATGGGAAACTTCATTTTGTTTCCGCTTGATTGTCGATGAGGAGATATCCACATGTAGTGTGTCGGAGATTGTCTGAATTTTCGTAATCTTGACGCCAGCTTTGTTCCTGTGCCTAGGAACTGATCCAGGTGGAGTCTTCTCGGATTTTGTGGCAAGCAAGCCGGCGTGTTCAGTATTGACTTGATCGGTTGTCACCGTGTTCAGCCTGACGGGGGAAGCCTCTTGTAATGCGGTCGGTTTCTGATTTTCAAATACTATCTTGTCATCATTGCGCTTTTTGAAATGCCTGGTGCTTGACGGCAGGACGCCGACATCGTTGATTGTTGGACTAGGTGGAGCGGACATTGATCAAACGCTATACCAATATACATGCAGGAAGGAGCAAGGGTGCGACGGGACTCTGATCTATGGCACTTTGGATATTGCTTTGTATTCCTCTAAAGCTAAGATAAAGGAACAGCGCGGTTATAAATCAATCATTGAACGAATTATGGGAATCGGGCAGTGTTTCTATTTTCGGTTCGAAGGAGCGGCATCCATGTTGGTTCCTGGACCACATGATGGCGCACCGATAGACGTGGTGGAGATTGGCTGCCTCCATTCTTGGGAGCGGACTTGATCGCTCGGGAATGTGGCTCGCGCCGCACCATAACTGTTCCACAAACCAGTTCGACCCATGATCGTCGCTCCAAGGCTCTTAAAATAGGTACGCAAACGACGCATAAAAATTTACTGAATATTGATATCCCTTCAAGGCATAACTCTTGAGAAATAGTGGTGATCACGCACGGACGGCTCTAACTGGCCGGAGGTACCTTTGCTCGATGCCTGTCGACGTTACAGATGCTAATGTACCCAGTGTTTTAGCTCGGAGGGTCAATGCGGCTAGCGCCAGAGTCGCTTAAAGAGGCTATTTGGTAAAATGCACGCACTTCTTAGCAATGCTAATGCCGCGGAATAGAGGTCTCATAAGTGTTAAACACCTTCGTTTACTATGTAAATCGTTAGTAATAATGAGCTGCTTTCTCTTATGACTCGTATATTTCTTCAAGTCCACCAGTAAGTATACTCTTAACCACCTTCTATCACCTAACCGCACTAGTTCTAATTAGGAGAGCTACACCCACTAATTATGCAGTAATTAGGCTATCGCTAGGCGTTAAGTCTTCGGCTGCATAGTAAATAGAAGTACTTTAGATTTATGCTAGGGCATAGTCGATAATAGAGCATAAAAAAAGCGTGCATTTTTAGCAAATAATGCTCGGTGAAATACAATAACGGCGCCTTTGCTAATTAGGGTTAGATAGGTGCAGGGGGGGGGGGGTCCGTTCGTCAAGAAATGGGGTCCTTATAGGAACGCCCTTGCTATATCATTAATTTCTGAACAAGTTACAGATAGTAAGAACAATAATAGAAAGCAAGGCAGATTGTCCCATCCGTAAGAAACCTCCTAACAGCCACAGCCCTTTATATCACTGCTTACCAGTGAAATCATTAAAGTTATCCAAAGGCGCGTCAACCTCAACAATCTTCCAAACCTGCTCGATCTGCGCCGCAATCTTAGAATCAAGAGGACCCTTCGCAAATGCAGCAAGAGTCTGATTCAGCTGCTCAATAGTGCGCGTGCCAAAGATAACCCCATCCCCGGACTCCCCGCTGAGCGCGGAGTTATGTGCCACCCACCGATACGCCAACTCAACCTTGGGAATACCGGACTCCTTAGAGATCTTATCCCAAAGCTTTAAGCCCTCGAGCATGTTCTTCGTATTATAGAGCGCATGGTACTGCTCACCAAGCTTTGTCTTCGGATCCCATCGACCCTCACCACCAGAAACCAAAACCTTAACGTCCTTAGTTAAGAATCCACCTGCGATGGGCGAGTAGGCATTGTAGGAGATGTTGTGCTTGCGTAGTGTTGGTAGTAGCTCTGTCTCCGCCCGGCGCGCGACGGCGGAGTAGTTTCCTTGATACACACTGGGCAGGACGTATCCCTTCTCACGACAGACGCGGACGACTTCTTCGACCTCTGTGGCGAGGTAGTTTGAGAGACCGAAACGCTTGAACTTTCCGGCTTGGTATAGGGTGTTTATGCTAGCCAGAAGTCCCTCTAGGGGAACACGACGATCGGGTGCGTGAATGTAGTAGACATCCACCTGATTATGCTATTAGAGATAGACCTTCCACGTAGCCAATTTCTAGATGTATACCTGGTCTGTTTGGAGATAATTCAAACTCTCGTTTGCGATTGAAACGATCGATTCTTGGGAATTCGGCTCTGGGGCGATCCCACCGGGGTGTTTCGTGTCAATGGCGAAGCGGGAGCTGGCATTGGCCTGACCCAGACGCTCCTCAGAGTTCATGTAGAATCTGGCTGTGTCAATAGTCTTGACGCCATTGGCTTGTAGGATATCTAGGGCTGCATTGATGGATTCGAGAGTGGGAAAGGACTCTTCGACCATGATGGAGCCTCCACCCCAGATGAGATTGGCGGGAGCCATGATTGAAGGTTTGAAATAGATAGAGGATATAGCTGTGGATGAATGTCGTATTTTCTGCTGATGGTAATAGCAAACAAAGGAGTTGAGTTCTTCTTGGATATTTATTTCCTCGCCCCATATAAATCCCGCTACCTCCACCGGATTATAAATCGCAAAGCAAACAAAGGAGTTGTGTTGTTCTTGGGTATTTACTTAACTCGCTCCATATAAGTCCCGCTAACTCCGCCGGATTATAAATCGCACCCCTTGCACGTCATTGTTAAGCTACACTGTGTACATCACTAGAACGTTGCATATATTGAGTTCTAATTTCTGTGAGGGAGCCAGAAAATGCAAAGTTTCACCTTTCTTCAAACTGGATCCTGTCTGCAAGGCTATGAATAGCCACCAGCCCATAAAGATACAAGAGTATAAAAAACAATGAGTAGATAGATGTTTCATTAACGATACTCCTTATGATGAAGTAACCTCCAAACTTCCCGATCGTACCTGTAGCGTACCACAACTCCATATACAGATATACACCGACAGCTGCCACTAGTCCATACGCAAGAATCAAGACTCCTAAGGTGGGACCTTTGAGCATGCCAACGAGAAATGAACCAAAATACGTACCAATGTATCAAGAAATAGCGTGGTAGGAGTCTCAAGCCTGGGAGAATTTGAACGAGCCTGGTAACAGCTTGCGACTAATTGAGAATAATGATTGTAGAACTAACAAATTGTGTGTACCTCTATCTATAGGCGATACCAAAAAGAAAAAATGGTTTTATGACCGAGAGCTATTAAATAGCAATGCTGTTAACTTAACTAAGCCTACGTAGGCGTAGGAAGCTAAAGAAGGTACTGAAACATTTCAAAAGGCAAATTACAAGACAGACAAGAGGGAATATTGATTCTCAGGAGGTCAATTGGGGTCTAGGTAGATTCCAGGACTCAACCGGTGCACACTGGTTACGGGCTTACTCATTTCATGATTTCAATAGCCGAGACTATCCAGTAACTGTTCTTTGCATGCTGTTACCCCATAGGCCCTCATATATATTGTTCGTGTAAGAAGCTCTTAACTCTTAGCTATATGCGTGGGTCTTGACTATAAAGCCGACTCGGGACCGGCAAATCGGCTTCCCCGCATATAAGAATTGGAGATCTCCGACACGACTTTTGTGTTTCAATTATTCCCGGATGATTCCAATTGTTCTTGCACATGTTCCATAATGTCCCCCTGCATATCATTATCAATGACGCAGCTCCGCCCGCGCGTGCTGGCGCGAGGTACCCAACCGAGCGCAATCCGCAGCTTCACCTCCTCGCAGCGTCTCCACTCCCCAGATGCCTCTGCGGTAGCCTCGTCATTCCTATCGCGCTTCCAATCCCTAGGACCCCAGACCCGGACACAAACGATAGATGCCAATCAGCTCCAGCTCCTTACCCTCACCCTCAATCGCCCAACTCTCTTCCCCGGATCTCCTTCGCTGTCCAATGGCGCATCCGCCCCGCAGTCCGAGACCCCGGTGCCGCCGGGCTACCACCTCGCGTATTTCACGCCTGCATTCATGGAAAGTGAACTAGGCCCCGATGGAACTGATGCATCATATAATCCTGACGTACCATTCACGCGACGCATGTGGGCGGGCGGCGAGGTGCTCTGGCCACGCGGTGCTGATGGGAAACCTAATTTGTTGCGAGTAGGACAGCAAGTGCAGGAGACAACGCGGGTGCTTAATGCTGAGTCTAAGGTTGTTAAGAAGACTGGTGAGGATATGATCGTTGTTGGAGTCGAGAAGGAATTCTCGAATGAGCACGGCGTGTCAATTATTGATCGAAGGTATGGCTCTCATCGCTGAGGAATGTTCGATCAGATATCTGACTTCATGCAGGAACTGGGTATTCCGTAAAGCTCTCCCCGTCCCGACAGAGTCAAAGCCCTCTAGCGCTCCCTCGACAAATTCTCATCTTGCGACCCTGAATCCTACTTCAAGTGCTATCTCTACTGAGGGCAACACTCACTCGCGCACATTGGTTCAAACGCCTGTGACACTCTTCCGTTTCTCTGCTCTGACCTTTAACCCCCATAAGATCCACTATTCCTTACCCTGGGCTCGAGACGTCGAGGGGCACAAGGATGTCGTCGTGCACGGTCCGTTAAATTTGATTTCGATTTTGGATCTTTGGCGAGACACTCGCAGTTCAAATGTCACGGATCCAACGTTGGTCGTTCCTGAGCGCATCTCTTACCGTGCTACGAGTCCTTTGTATGCTGGGGATGAGTATCGCATTGTTCTTGAGGAGGGCGAGGTGACAAAGGTGCAGATTATTGCACCAGGAGGAGTTGTTGCTATGAAGGCTGAAATTCAATAACCGGAAGGCTGAAATATATAGAGGGCCGATTTATTGATGCCTGATTGTATAGAAAAGAATATCCAAACAACGCCTTTTTCTCAGCAAAATCCAATTTCCTTCGAATCATGCCTTCCAGGTGGTACATTATCTAGATAATGAAGTCGATTAACCTTAAAAGGTCCAAACCACGGCCTGGAACGGCTTATGTTATCTACAGTCACCTGCAGCTCCCGGCCCAATCACGTGCACCTAGTTTCAGAGGTGCGTTAGTTGGATCAAAGAACCTGAACCTCTACATAAATGCGACTGTTCGAATAAGAAAACCCTGCAAATCCGAAATCGAGACTTGGACGAGGATGAACGACCTGTACCCCGCTACGGAGGCGTCTACCCCCAAAAAGCGGACTCGTGTCCAATTTTCGTGCACAGCATGCAGGTTCCGAAAGTAAGTAACTCGTATTTCCATGCCCACTGCAGCTTCTGATCGTGAGCAGATTAAAATGTTGCCGCAACCACCCATGTACCAATTGTAAAAAGCGGGGTGAAGCAGCAGCATGCACCTACGTTGGTCGCGGGCCACGAGGCAAGGCCCAACATGGACGATCCAGCCCGACTCTAGTCCAGGACCGCTTGCACCATCTAGAGAACCTAGTGATGTCGCTTGCGCAAAAGCAGCAGCCTGATGAAGACGTCGATATTGATTTCAACGCCCCATTAGAGCATCGGGGTGCTTATGTGACACCCTCCCCCGCCTCTGACCGTGATACCATATCGACTCCGGTTGATACCGGCACATTGGTCGTAAAGGATGAGGGAACTAGTTACATCGACAGCGCAAATTGGCGAGCCATTTTGGAAGAGGTTTGTTTTCAGTGGCCTACGTTGTGGACTGACCATGCTGACTGCGCGCAGATCAATGGAGTGAGAGAGTACCTAGACGAGAATGGACATGACTCTGATGACCAAGGTGCTGAAGATGACCCATACGAATCCTCGTCACCGGTTATACTGTTTGGCAATTCTCGGCCAGTCACCAAAGAGGAGATGCTTGTGGACATTCCTGCACGATCAATAGCCGATCGCCTTATCTCTCGCTTTCTCAAGACAACTGAGCCCGCACTTGGTAGGACTTGTATCATCTTTGGAGCAAAGCATGAGTATTAACACAGAAAACAGTTGCGATCCATATTCCTACGTTCCAAAAAGAGTATGAGAAGTTTTGGCTTCACCCAAGTGAGACGTCATTCACTTGGATCTCCCTTTTATACTCAATGTTGGCCCTATCGGTGTCCATGTATCACCGAAGCGCAGAGCCATTGCCCCGTGATATGGCGACTCCCGCAACTGCATTACATACGTTCCGCAAAAGATCATCTCAATGCCTTATACAGGCAAATTATATCAATCCAGGACGGTACAAAGCACAAGCACTGTTCTTTTACACGCTGTCTGAATTTTATCGGAGCCAAGATGCTCAAATTGGAGTCTCCTATATACTTGGGATGACCATTCGCCTGGCTATGCGCATGGGCTATCATCGCGACTCTCATCATTACCGAATGCTCTCAGCCTGGGAGGGAGAAATGCGCCGGCGCCTCTGGGCAGTGCTTGTTCAACTCGATACACTGATCTCATTCCAGGTTGGCGTTCCTCGGACAATCCAGCCATGGCAATACGACACTGAATTACCTGCAAACTTGCTGGATACCGACTTTGATGAAGATTCAGCTCATTTGCCACCCTCAAGGCCCGAAGATGAACGAACAGCGTCTTCATACACAAGAGCTAAATTCCCCATAATGAAAGTCTTTGGTCAGATCACAGACTTGGCGTTCTCTCGAGAATCCTCATCCTATGATGACATCCTGGAAATCGACCGCCGCTTGCAGGCCTCGCGTGAAATGTCGCCTTTGTTCTTGCAAATGAAACCAATGACACAATGTATTGCAGATGCGGCAGAAGTGATCATGCGTCGGTACACCTTGGAGCTTTTGTACCAAAAGGCGCGAATCGTTCTGCATCGCCGGTATATGGGCGAGACGAACCCTAAATTTGCATATTCGCGTTCAGTCTGTCTCACCGCAGCCCGCGAGACTCTACGATATCATGCAGAAATCTGGAGCGAGTCCATGCCAGGCGGCCAATTATACGCAGAGCGATACTTTATAAATTCCCTGTCGAACTCCGACTTTGTCCTTTCGGCAATGATTCTCTGCCTTGAGATATCTCAGGATGAAGATCGGGGTGATGCCGCGCGCCTCAGCGACCAGGAACGTGCAGACTTTGTGGTTCTTTTGGAAACCACACATCGCATTTTCTTAGAGTCACAACATCACTCTATTGACACACAGAGAGCAGTCACTGCTCTGACTATTATGCTCAGTCGGGTCAAGAACAGCAAGGTCCAGCATTCCCACGCAAACACTGTCCAAATGATGACCATAGATAGTAAGGTTGACCTATGCCCTTCTCACCGAGCAGTGCTGACAGTTTCCTCAGATTTCACTCCACCCCAGTCAAATAGCCAACCAGAATTGGACCAACAACATCTTCAAAGATACCCAGCCGTTGCAGAAGTGCAGACGTCAATGCACGTAGCCGGCGAGACGCCAGCACACAACTCATTAGGGGTTATTGGTGATATGCTAAATTTGCCGGCTCAGCTTGACTGGGTAAGAACTTTGACTTTGCGTCTACGAACATGGAAGCTAATTATGCATATAGCGCTTGTACGACAGTCGCATCTCCGGGATCGAAATGGCCACGAATGACAACGTCTGGTATTCCACTGCTGCATCAGCCCCCGAATTAGGTTTTGCTTCATACCCTTCTGGCGTGACACCGATGGATGATAATTCGTTTTATCAGCAATAATGGCCGTGAGCTGTAGGTATAGCTAAGGAATATGTTTGCATAATACATTGCTATCTTAGGAGCCCTTAGATAATATTCACTCAGACGGTGATAATATTGATCTAGGCTAACGAGTAGAAGCATACCAGAAATTCATTTGAATAATGCAATTAACATAAGTTCGAAGTGTGTATACATTGGAATTCCTGCCGAGGCGCGGAGTATTCGGTGCAGATCCCGCTCCGCGGAACGGGGACTTTTTCCTACTCTGCACCAACCATTGCCGGGAACCAACTTGTCTATAGCCCTTCCAACGCACCCCCCGCCTCAATGCGACCATTTCGCAGCGTGCGACTCCCAAGTCGCCCAATCACACCAATCACAGGGCACCAAAATGTGCCCAAACAACAGCAAGCCCACCAAACGCTGCACCCTCGAACAATAACCACAACCCAACGACCCAGCCTGACACGACCTCTCCCCTCAAACAATGCCACCAAACCAACAACAACAAACAGGTCCTTCGGCCTCCCCTCACTATCATCCTTCCTCCCCTCAAACGGCGGCAGTAACAACAACAACAACTCCCCCCACCGCGTCCTAACCGCAACCCGCAACCTCCCCTACAACCCAACCCTGCTCTTCAAAGTAATCTCCTCCGTGGAGTCCTACAGCCAATTCCTCCCCTTCCTCACAGCCTCAACGGTCACAGCTCGGGACCCGGCGACCAACGACCCAACACAAGCCTTCCTAACCGTCGGCTACGGCCCTCTCAGCGAGACCTTCACATCTCGCGTGATCTGTGACCGCGAGAAACTGACCGTCGAAGCGAAGAGTGGGTCGAAGTATGGGACAGAGGGGGCTGACCCCCAGGCTGGGAAGGGTGCTTCGTCTTCGTCCGGGTTGAGCGGGTTCTTCCCCGGTGCTACGGAGGGTATCTTTGAGTATCTTTCTACGCGATGGGAGCTTGTGCCTATTACGCCTGTTGAGGCGAAGGGTCGGCCGTTGACCAAGGTTAATCTTGAGGTGCGGTTTGAGTTCCGGAGCCAGATGCACGCTACCCTCATGGGTGCTGTTGAGGGGCAGATGGCTGGTGTTATGATTGAGGCTTTTGAGAAGCGGATTCGTGAGGTTGAGGGGAAGGGATTATGAGATATGTATAGATGGATGGATGGGATGTACTGTATATTAGAGGGAGTTTGGGGATTGGTATATATACGCATCTTGCATGTACTGTAATAGATCTAGACTCTAGACAGCAAACGGAAATAGAGCATATCGCCAATTGATTCTATTGGATGGATCGCTGTACAAGCTCAAACGAAGGCCTGTAGAATGAAGGGGAAAAGGACCAAAAAATAAGAACATGATAGTATATAATACAAATTATCCAGAGACAGAAATGATTTTCGGCTTAGAGCATGCCCATACTCCGATCGCGGTTGGCGGCGCTCCGCGAGCCCTTCAGCGAGCTAACGGCATTGTAGTTGTCGAAGACCACATCCCAGTTAATCCGATCCCACCACCGCTCGAGGTACTCGTCCTTGCCGGCGATACCGTAGTCCATCATCCAAGCGTGCTCCCAGGTGTTGACACACAGAATGGGCTGCACGTCGAGGGCGCCGGGGGCGAGGCTCTTCTGGTTCTGGGCGTGGGCGCCCATTGATCCAGCGAACTGGTTGCCTAGCTGGGTCTCGGGGGTGTGGGTGGACATGTCGACGGGTTGGCGGCGGGAGTGGGCGGCTGGGTAGGGGGAGCCGGCATTGTAGGTGCAGAAGATGTGCATCATGCCCTCGCGCTCAAGGTTCTTGGCGAGCCAGACGAAGCCCGGGCCGAACATTGAGCTTGCTGTGGCCAGGAAATCCAACTTTAGGGACTCCACGGAGGAGCAGGTGTCGACGATGTCCTTGGAGAACTTTTCGGGGATGGTGGTGGCTGTGGGGGACTGGATTGAGGGAAAGGTTAGGGTGATGTAATGTTGTATAGTATTGAAGTCATTGCTCACCAAACAGTTGAAGAAGAAGTGGTTGTTGTGGGCCATTGAGGCATAGTTGAACACTGAGGCCATCTCCGGACGCCGGGAGTACTTGACCAGCAATTCTCCGGGTTTGGCATCGGCATCGACGGTATCTGCGAGGTTCATAGGTCAGACATATATTTCCACTTATACAACGTCATGCATTGGTTCATTATAAATCGAATTGGACCGATGTGTCGTTCTGCAGAACCGGAGTGCCGAGCTCACCTTGTGTCAACAGGTTGAGTTTGTCAACGAGCAGGGACTGGTATTGGGTCCAGGAGAAGTCGAAAGCCTCAGGAGACAGGAACTCCGGGATACCATTCTCCTTGTAAGTGGCATCATGCTGCAATTGAGGGATGCGATGAAGGCCACGGATCTGGAAGCGCGAGAAGGCGGAGGTAGGCTAGACGAGACGCGGTCAATAATTGCAACCAGGGCACTGGGTGGACTGAAGCTCACGGGGATAGAAGATGAAGCCGCGCGCAAAGCGCTCTGCGGCCTGGCAAGTCGGCTGAACATGACGAGGGGCACTGTGAATGGTCGGGTCTATCGTGCAGAGCTTCGACGTCGAAGAATTTCCCTCCCGACGTGATGCCCAATCGGGACTAGCCTGTGTTATGTAAGACATCCTCCCACTAGCCAATTACATCCCTCCGAACTACTTCACCTCTAAGCGCCTTCTTCTCTGCAACTTTCAGTCTTACGTCCAATCCTCTTTCTCTACTTCCCGGCTCCATTGTGGTCCTGCAACATATCTCTGAGTTAGCGCCCGTCTAGCTCCCTATTTCATCATGCGGTCGACCCTGAAACACCTCAGTCACTATTTTAGGATGGCGCGTGCAACTGGCAATCTTTGTTTGCAAGACAGTATATTGGGCTGAAGAATGAGATGCTTTAGTTCTTTCATTGTTTTTTACTTTAGTCTGAATTCAATGCCCTTGTCTGTTGGCCTTTTGCTCTCTCCTCATTGGAATCTTTCTCTAGTGTTGATCTTCTGCTTTCCTGGCCTACATTCAATCTGAAGATACTGCCACAATTCTATTCCTCTAACGTCCACATATTCTCTAAAAGATTTCTACGGCTGGTTGACAGAGATACATATCATCCACCCAGAACACGTCTGCTCTGCAGCATGGCGTGGTCAGCAACTAGCAGCAGCAGATCGCCATCCATTCTGCTACTCTTGGTTCTTTGGGCTAGCATCGGACAAGGCTATGCATTCGACTCATTCAGACTTATCTCGAGAAGCTCGGATTCATGTCCCACCTCATACAAGCACTGCGGCAGCACGAAGCTCCCAGATAACTTCTGCTGTCCATCAGACTCAACCTGCATCAGTTTGGACGATGCCACCTCCGCCATCTGTTGCCCCGAGGGCAGTGACTGTCAGTATATCACGCCCATTGTCTGTGATATCCAGGAGCAGAATGCCACTCTCTACCCCTCAAACCCCATCAAGACAACTCGTCTAGGCGACAGTCTCCCCAAATGCGGCGAGAAGTGTTGCCCATTCGGCTTCACCTGTGACGGAAACACCTGTGTCATGACCAAATCTGCCTCCACAACCGCAACAGCCTCTGTATCCGAACCCGCAACCACAACTGCATCCTCAACATCAACATCATTCACCGGGTCAGTAACCCTCGGAGCAACCTTCACCCCAATATCATCTCCATCAGCTGCAGCCTCCACAAATACCACAGCAGCAGTCCTATCAGAATCATGTCCCTCCTTCCCAATCAAAGCCATAGTAGCAGGCTTCTTCCCCGGCGCAATCTTCGGCGTCGCCGCTGGTCTCTTAATATCCTTCTGCCTCCGACGCCGCGCTCGCAACGCCGAAACCAAAATCCGAGAATCCAAATTCCCATCGCACTGGTCCCAGCGCACTTCCACGGGAGCTGTAATGAGTATCTCAAGACCAATAGTCTCAGAAGACGCCTCTTACCGCACAGACTTCCTCCTCCGGACTCCACCCGATATGAAACGCTCTTCAGTTGGAGGACGCTCCACCCGGTCTAGGATGCATCGCACCGGCAGCAGAGTGAGAAGCCTTTTCCATAACAATCCGCGACTGGACAAGAATGTGCCGCCTATCCCTGTACATCCTGTCACTCCTCCAAGGCAGCGTGAGCCCAGCACGGAGAGTATCAAGGTGTACTCCCCACCCGGAACTTTCGCACAGCCCAGGAAGTTCCTAGGGCCTGAACCGTATCCGGCTACAATTGCGAGGCCTGACACAACTTTTACGGATTTGATTCAAGGGCATGGCTTTAGTGGTCCCCAAGGAGAGCCTTCATATCGCATTCGTGAGGATTCGAAAGAGAATCCCTTCAGAGATCCTTGGCCTCAACCTATTTGAATGACTAAGGTCCGAGCTTTGGTTGACTTCAGATGCGGATTTCGTTGATCGCAGAGAGAATTGTTGTTCTTGCATGGATAGTGTACCATGATATCTATGCTTGTATTCTTTCCCTTGTTTTGAACGGTTGGGTGTCATTTGTTTAGATACCTATTTGCTTTTTTACTTAATTGAACCAATGCAACTTTCAACTTGAATCCAATCTGCTGAGCAACTGCTTAAGAGAGATAGTAACCGAAGTGGAAATTTTGATAAGCAGTCATTGACAATGACTTAGAGAAAGGAACTTGAATGGGTGTATATAGCAACTCTTAGAATACATAAAAAGAAAGAATGATGGAAACTACGCCGCGGCCGCCGCTCTCCTCGCTTTGCGTCCAGCTGCAATCCTCTTGAGCTCCTTGAGTAAGCTGACAACAAGGGGCACACCAACTGGACCCAAAAGAGGCAAATAGACAGCAACCTTGTGCTCATCTGGGAAGTAGACCTGACCAACCATACTTTTCTCGAAGAAGCTACGCTCAGCTTCTGTCTCGGCAACCCGGGCACTGGCAAGTGCGGCACCGAAGCGGCCCTCTCGCAAGTGGGAACACGTAGCACCTAGATGGGAAAGAGTGGTAGAGACAGAGGAGGCGACGCTAGCCGGGATAGGTATGGAGGGTAGAGATTCGGTGAGACGGGCCAGGGAGCCCATTGTGGATGAAGCGGAGAGAAGGAGGGTGGCTGCGCGGATGCGGATGGATGTTTGAAGACGGAGTGGAAGGGAGGCTGGGGTGCTAGGGGTACCAAGGAGGGTGAGAAGTTGGTGAGAGAACGTCATAAAGGCAGGGCCTAGAGAATCATGGGAGAGATGGGCAGGATTTGACTGGCCACCCTGCTCGGCATTGGAAAGGGTTGGGTTGAGGAGGTATACTCCACCCCATTGGGGAACAATCCAGCTTGAAGCTCGGTTCTCCTTGACAATCAAGGGGGATTGGGATGGATCTGGGACATAGAGGATGAAGTTGATTGTGGGCCCGTTGCCGATGCTTGGGTTTAGAGGCCACTCGGCAGCGTTGACGAAGGCGCTGAGATCCTCCTTCTTGAGTGTCCATGCTGACTCTGCTTCATCATACTCGGGTCGGGGCGCAGTAGGTGCGAAGTTCGCATACAGCTGGACCTGCGTGTCGACAGTGAAGTTGCTGATGGGTTCAAAGGCCTGCAGGAGCGGGGAAAGGTATTCCTTTACAGCAGCCTCAATGTCCCATGATGACGGTTCGGATCCCGGAGTAAAGAGCGAGAATGAGAGGTGGTATGTCTCGGCGTATTTCATCGATCTGCGCAGTCTCCGACTGATACTCTCTGCGAGTTGTGGTGATGTTGAGTCAAGACCGCCAGTGTGTCCGGACAGGATGTGTGCTATCGTAGCCTTCTCCTCACCATACAATCGCTGTAGCTCTTCCGCGATGAATGCAGAGAGGGGCGAGTTTGATGAGGAGGGAACGGGGACCTGGCTCGGAGGATAGAATACATCAAGCTGCGTCGTGGCTGCATGAAGCTCTGACCGAGGAGCTGCCAGGCCCTCCTGGGCCAGCAGGCGAACTGTCAATGTAGTGTCTGGTGCCTGTGCTTCGGCATTGATGGCGCCTTCCATACCATTCTCGGCATTATGTGACACAGTTGCGCTGTCGTTGGCTAGCTTGAGGCGGAGGTGGTGAGCGGCGAACTCGTTCAGATCATCGAGGGTATGCTGTGTGGTGCGGAGGAGATATTGCGCCTCAATAGGTTGCATGGAAGGAGTCGCAAGATGAATCTCAAGAGGGAAGACTGGTCGACATGCCTACAAGGGCGATTGTTAGCATCCAAACTCCGAGACCAAAAGCGATTGCAGGCGCTGTACCTTTCCATCAGCCCAATCCACCATTTCCTCGATAGGAAGATGCGCCCTGTAAATAGATGTTGTCTTCCACCATATTGGAAAACCCAGGAATATAATCACAACCCAGAACGCAGCTATCACTCGGAATCGCGTTTGGACGGCAGCCGGGGTCTCTGGGGGCGGAGGGCGCTTGACGGTGGATTCGTTGGCATGTGAGGTCGAAACCTGAGGAGACACTTGGTCTCCTTGTTCGGTCGTCATAGTCGAAACATGCTCTCTGAAGAGCTAAGGAGGAAGTGGATATTCGTGTTTGGGGAAGGTTGCCGGGCGGAGAAGCCAGGGAGTAATAACCAAGGTGGCCGCATTGAGCGCGTATACTTCCAAGCTCCCCAGTAATATCTCAACAGGTTCAGTTCAACTCTAGCCGGAATTGTCATACATTTAATTGTTCTATAACATTACTCTGCGATTTACGGAGACAGAGTGCTTCTAAGGTAGATCTACGGTCTCAATAGAAACCACAGACACGAGTATATAGAGTCTCAAATGAGACTAAATCGACTTTAGTATTTCAAAATCGCAATAAAAAAGGGTATCTTGACCAGTAACGCCGATCCAATGTAGGATCAAAGACCAATGGGCCTCGATCCGCACAACTATGCAATGTCTAGTATTCCTTCTCGAAAATCTTCTGGATCGGTTTGGCAGCCTAAAAATCGAAAGTTAATCAGATCGCTACACCAAAAGTAGAAGAGTCGAGGCACATACATCGACAAACTTCTCAAGGTCCTGGTCGAGGTTCGCAAGATCATCCTTCCTCTTCTTGTTCTCCGCAATCAAAGCCTGCTTGCGCTTCAACAGCTCTTGCCGCGCTTGCTCAAGTTTCTCTCGCTCAGCATGCTCATGGTTGATGCGGGCGATCATCAAATCATGTTCGTTGGTCTCACGATGTTCAGGGTGAAGCTCAAGGAACTCCTGGACGGGGATCAAAGGAAGGGACAGGTATTTATGACTATCGCACCGGAATATGTTAGTTCACCGCAAAAAACGAAAGTCAAAAGACCAATAGCAGGTCCGATCCACATACTCATATGCTTCACAGGCCGCGATTTCGCCAGTGAGGTGCTTCTGCTCGTAGTAAAGGTTCTGCAGTTGGAGATGCAGTCGGTCGATCTCCTGTCGAGCCTCTGCGGTGGCTTGCTTGGTGTCGCGAACACGGAAGATAGCGCCCCGGTTCTGCCCGCGCAGTCGGGCTAGCAAGGCGAATAGGACCTTTTGCTGCTTGGACGCGGCCAAGGATAGCTCTTGGAGTTTGGCGGAGTCGTTAGGCAGGGTGTCGGGGTTCAGTATGGAGAGCAACTGTTGGCACTGCACTAGCGTCTCAGCGCTGGTCTGGAGCACCGGCAGAAGCGACTCATCGGTGACGATCTCATTGATAGCCATGGCGGAAATTTTCTTAGATCTTTAATAATTTACCCCGGTGGCGAGAGAGGAGAGGCTAAGAATCCGAAAAGCATGTGGAGATGGAGAGAGGCGCGGGATCAATCAGGCGTAAGGCGGTACCATGTGCATCCTTGGCTGGCACTGGTTGGGACACCCTCTCTCCTTCATCTTCCTCACTCTTTTTCGATCCGCCCCCCTGGATTTGTTGTTCTCGATGTATTCAAGCCCCTCCTTATCTTGACGCCAATAGTCCTTGCTCTCCTTAGTTTCTCTGGGTCCCTCCGCCTTCCTTACCCTCCCGTTACCCTCCCGATACTACCCTTCCCCAACGCTTACATTACATGGCCTTCGAGAGGTGAACTGAACACTCATGGCTTGCGGCGCTTCTTCAATGACGGTGGAGTCTTATCCTGACACAGAGGCATTTGCCTCTGCTACTGCGACTCCCAGCGAGGAGACTGGTCTTCTCCGTGATCGGCGGCGCAGACATTCATTCCAAGTTTCTAGAAGACTGTCGTGCGACTACCAAGATGCAGATGCAGTCTTTATCCGAGTATGTACCCGATTTATATTCCGAACTATACACATAGTATAACGTGTCTAACCAAGTTCTAGGTTGAACTGTTCCTGGCCGAACTGGAACGTCGAATGCAATGGATCGAGCAATATCGGAAATCCCACATGATTGGAATCGACGCTAGTCTTAAACGGGGCTATGCAACACTGGAGGCTGTCAGAGACCAATGTTCGGTCGCATCGGGCGAGCTGATGGGAAGTGGCAAGAAGCGGGCTAAAATCTTGGTGGAGACTCTCGAGGACCGATACAACGAGGCCCTGGTGACCAAGGAAACACTGGAGCAAAAGGCCCAGGCAGGAGTCCGCCTGATGGAGTCGTTCCTAATCGAACTCGAAAACAGAGCCCACGCGGTCCGTGATCGTGGCATCTACGGCACCCTGGACGATGGGTGGAAGGCCGTGGATTCGAGCTTGGTCCACGCTCGAGAGATTGTCGACGAGGGCATGGAACGTGCTCGCCGTGCTCGTGATACCCTCCGCGAGAACGTTGAGGAGGCCATTCGGCTAGCCCAAGAGAAACGGTTGATCAACTACCATGAGCTGCCCGATCCATGGAGAGTCAACCCCCACATCATCAACGGTTATCGCTTCACCACTTCCAAGCTGGAATGCGTGTCGTCCGTCTTCGCTTACTCGAACGAAATGTTTAATATCTGGTCCCATGTGATTGGTCTTGTTGTTGTCCTCGCCATTGCCTTTTACTTCTATCCGCTCCATACCAACTTCCACCTCAGCACGAAATCCGATATCGCAATTGCTGCTGTCTTCTTCTTTGCTGCATGCAAGTGTCTGGTCTGCAGTACCATTTGGCACACCATGAACAGTATCGCATCCCAATCCTTGATGGAACGCTTTGCTTGTGTTGACTACACCGGAATCTCGATGCTGGTCGCCGCCTCGATTGTCACCACCGAGTACACCGCTTTCTACTGTGAACCCTTTTCTCGATGGATATACATCCTACTCACCATGTCTCTGGGTATTGGTGGCATCATCCTGCCATGGCACCCAACCTTCAACCGCCACGACATGGCCTGGGCTCGCGTAGCCTTTTACGTGACGCTCGCGCTCACCGGGTTCTCACCCATCGCCCAACTATCCTACACCCGCGGTCTCTCATGGTGCTTGTACTTCTATTCACCAGTCGTCAAGAGCATCACAGTCTATTTCGTCGGTGCCCTAGTCTACGCCTCCAAGGTTCCCGAGCGCTGGAAGCCAGGTTTCTTCGACTACGTCGGCGGCAGCCACAACATCTGGCATCTTGCTGTTCTTGGTGGTATCCTCTTTCACTACCACGCCATGCAAGACTTGTTCGCCGGAGCATTCCAACGCGCCCAAGGCGAATGTCCGAATTTGACGATGTGAACATATCTCTGAACATACCTCCACGATTCTATTTTCGTTTCTCTTTTACTTGCTCATGATTTATCCTCATGGAGTACATGACCTTGTTTTCAAGTGTCCTTGCTGAGACACATAGACCTGCTGTGGCCCCTTCTCAAAACTTCATAGATCTGTTTCTACGGGTGCCTTGATTCTGTTGATGCCCGTTTTGCCTGCATGGTTGGAGTTTGTTTCGCTGTCTATTGCTTTACCTTCGATTCTTAGAGCATCGGTTTCCAAGCTAGACCTTTGTTTCTCCTTTTCCCTCGATGGCGCCACTAGATCTGTCTAGATGCAGGGTGTGCATAACCTTTTGTCATTTGTTGAATTTACTTCCCATTTGCTGTCCATGGGTATCCTCTGGGATTACATATAAAGTTGTCAGAGATCGTATTACGATATCAGAACATACATATGCCATTTGCTCTTTACATATTGCCTACTATATAATCTTTTTCTTCTGTGCCAAACAATGTTCTTTTATTGTATATGCAATATTCTATGCATCGTCTATTGTCGTACATTCATAACTCCATGAAGGAATCTCCTCTAGTTGTTACCCTAGACATTTCCATCAGTTTCTATCGCATTTTTCCAAGGTCTCGGTGCCAGAAAGCCAACCCAATATGTAATGTCGACATTCAGATTGACAATTCTTCGAGTTGGAATTGCAAACTGGCGGCTTTGCATTACGTTCAAAATGGCGAACTCTGTGGAATGAAGGTCGAAGGGTAGGAGAGACGGTCACAGAGGCTGGCCGTGACTCGGATTATTTTGAAGGATTGCGTTGATCCTTGCCGAGGTGTTGATGATGCTCATCATCCGAAACAAGCACCGATTGACTGATCGACGAAGTGGCTTATGGCGCACCCTCAGTAGCCTCAACCGCAGACCCATCGCGCTTGACGAAGTGACCCTGCATCCAGCAGCGGTACATCTTCAATTTGCTTTGACGGTTGACAATCAATCGCCGATCAGCTCCCATAAGCTTTACCTCGAAGGCTCCTTCCTTCTTGGCAGCCTCCTTAGCCTCTGCAGATTTCTCCTCAACAGGCTCTGGCGTCTTACCCTCAGCACCGTCTGTGGGAGCCTCTGCAGATATGGGAATCTGCAAGCCCTTCTCTGCAGACCAGGTACCCCACATATCAACGAGCTGGTCCTCATCGAAGAAGTAGACGCGCGTACCGTCCCCACGAACATAGAAGTTCTCTTCCATATAACGGCCCTTTTTGAAGCGCACTTGGGCGAGGTCACCGCGGCCGTAGTCGCGGAACAGCACGCGGCCACCGGGCTTCAGAACACGGTAGATGTTGCGGATAGCCTGGTCCCATTGGGTAGGAGCCAGAGCAGAGAAGATGAAAATGAGAATGACAACGTCGACCGAGCCTTCGGTCAAACCAGGCGGGAGGCCGTTGTCCTCTTCAGTGGGCACAGAAGCCACATCCCAAACATCGGCCGCCATATATTTCTCGTTGTAGTGCTCGCTCTCGCGCATGACCTTCACGGCATACTTTGAGAAATCGCAAGCATGAACCTTGAGATGCTCATTCTCATTGTTGGCGATCAGAGGGAACGCGGTGTTTCCAGCACCCGCGCCAACCTCCAGGACGACCTGGGGACCAGCCTCCTTCTGTGTGACTTCCGCGAGAACAGGGAACTCCTGACGCAACCATTTGCGGTCCTTGAAGAAGTTGTCTGTGTTGTTCTTATAGAAAAGGTTCCACCACTTAGCCGGGTCATTGTTGAATCGGTTGCGATCAAAGTCCGATACTCGTGTTTCGCGCTGTTTCGCATATTGTGTTTGGGCAAAGGCCTTGAATTCGTCATCTGGTTCGACGTGGTCCCAGGCATTGAACTCGAAGACGTCGTCGCCCTTTTCGAGGAATCGCGATCCGAATTGGAACGGGTCGCTTCGCTTCATGTTGTTGCTGGGATCGTGGGAGCGACTGGAGGGCACCTGGGGAGGCTCGATGCTCTGGAGTACCTCCCGTACTTCCCGTACATTGGTTTCGGTGGACATGTTGTATGGTGTTTATATGAGGACTGGAGTGGGAAGAATCTCACTGGGGATCATCGCGGGGAGGACAAAAAATCTCACAGGCGGCGATGCGATTGGCGGGGTGCCTGAGATCACATGACTGTTTGTCCCCCACTTGGGCTTACCGCCTTCACCCCTCGTCTCCTAATGACCAATCACAGGGTAGGGATGCACACCGCCTTTTTTATATCCAGTTTGGGACTATATTATCAACAAAGAGTGTAGCCTCAACGGACTCTGTTTCTGGATATACACGTAACTAACTATTAGGCTGTAGAAAGGCTGGCTCGTGTACAATGGTAAACGGAGACAACAACTATGCCAGACGCTTTGGTTATAGGCGACACCATGGGCGCCATAAAACTTCTATACGCTGTAACGTATCACAAAGCCCTATATGCACGAAAACAACGAATTGAATCCAATTATGCTCCCCGCAAAGCCTCCGTACCTCTACCATCAGATAACCCAAGCATTGTTGCGCTTTATAAATCAAACATAAATATGTCCATGTACCTCTACCTGGCTGTCTACGGATAGATAGTGGAGATTGATGTATCGGTACTTGCCTATCTTATCAGCACCGAGCCAATCAGAGATCCGGGGAATCTGGATGCCTGCGGCGTCGAAGTCAGCTCCAAGTTGTCCTCTCTTTCACCTCTCTTTCACCTCTCCTCTTTCTCAGGCTCCTATTCTTTTCTTTCTCCTCTATATGAGCATGTCCCTTTAGTTTCGGACCTGCTTTTCAGTACACCTGCTCGTCGTTTCAGGTCTGGGGGCTTATCGACGCGAGTGGGGTTTAGTCTATCATCAGTTGAGGCTCAACTGAGGTGTTCATGCAATAGTTCCCGTTTAGAGGGACTTGTATTGTGACAGTGACTCAAGGGACGACTTTCTCTCATTACAACAAACCCAGAATCTGGCTTTGACAGTGCCAATTAAACCAGAGGTAATTCCGCCATGTCATTCCTTTCCGCGCTCTGCGGATGCTTCTCCCGCGAGGAGAAACCCTGTTCAAACCCGGAAACCATGATCCAAAGACCCAACAATGGCATCCAAACAGGCCACTTCACACTCAACGGCGACGGACAATTCATCCGTCCCTCACCCTCACTCGGGCGCAATGGGCACGGACCCTCGGATGACTCGGAGGATGGGGGCTATTCTAGTGTGGTCCCGCTGCCGCAGTACACAGCCCGTCCGATGAGCCTCCACGAGAAGACGCTGGAAGCCCACATGCGTGATCCTTCCGTCTCTTCTGAGTCCCAGGAGTATTCCCAGGAAGAGAAGAACCGCAATCTCTACGACGAGGAAGTCACTTCTGATGCTTCTTCTGCTATTTCCTACCCTAGCAGCTATGGGAATACATCCACTGCAACGAGGGAAACTCCACCGCCGCCGTACTCGCCTCGTCATTCGGTGATGCTAAGTCGGTCCCGATCAATCTCGATTTCCTCGGCTATGGCTGTCATTGTTAACCCGCCGCCTATGGCGCGTGTTAATGGTTCGCGGACTGGGCCTGCCTATTCCGAGGACGATGATCGGTCTATCCGTCGTCATCGCCGGGTCTCTTGGGAGAGTCGGTGATTCAGCCTTGGCTGGATAGTATGACATGCACATTTCTCGCTATTTGTCTTCACTTATGATCTATCTGTTTAATATTTACATGCCGGTATTTCGGCGAAGACGATCTGGAATCGTCTATCCCGGACTTTTGCATTTTTTTTCTGGCCTCATTGCTGGCTGTTTCTGCATTCCTTTTTGCAGTCTTCTTGTCTGTTTTCACTGCATACGACGCGACGATTATCACTTCTCGATATTGATCGAATGTTTATGACATGATTGGATTTTGGTACGAAAGATGGTGCTTTTGGGGTCTTTTGTTTGGGATCACCTTGGATATTAATAATACTGGCTTTCACATGAACCGCACATCATGATACTTCTCATGGATGTGGTGCATCGGTATACGATGCACTTACCGCCGAGAACAACCTCGGACGTGGGCAGGCTTGCAGCCTGACACATACGTAGTGCTACAACTACTAGACGTGAATATAACTTCATATGTCTCATCAAACGTCCATGGAAGGTGGTCAGTAACCATAGAAATAGCAATAAAACGCTGTCAGTTCTAAATAGACCTTCGATATAGGCATGCAGGGAAATCAGTAGTAAGAAGGGTATCAGTCAAGCCACATTCGAAAACACCTATATAATCACATCCTCCAGGCCAGGCGGATCAAACAGAACAAGCTCATCGGCAGTCTCAAACAAATTCCCCTCCCGCTGATGCCTCAATGTATACCCACAACAAGAAGCCGGAAACTCCAACAACCTCAAAACAAGCAAATCACAACTCCCCTCGAGAAACATACAAATAGCAGTACACTCGGAACGAACCCTCGTCTTAACCCACCACTCCTCAACAAAACACATAAGCCCCAACCACCAAGCAAGCAAAACAAGCGCAGGAACCTCCTTCCTAAGCAAACACTCATAAAAAGGCCCCTCAAGCCTCCCCATCCAAGTAGTGTACTTATTAAAACTATCCGAGCACCGCTCAACTCCCAGAATCTGGATCAAAATTCGTAACGGCCACAAATAAGGCGTATTATCAATAGTAGAGTCCTCAGTGATACCACACAAATCGGCCAAATCGGAATCAAGACCGACCCTTCCAGCCCGGTCATCGTCGAAATTGATGTCTGGATCTCGCGATTCCATAAATGTCGCCCACCACATACTCTGCGGTAACCAGGGGTGGGTTCGTTCGAGGAGGTAGCGGAGTCCGCCCTGGAGGCGGAGCCATGTTAGGGCTGTTGGGTCGGGTGAGAAGACGAAGGAGGAGCGTGGGGAGAAGGTTTCTTGGTGGAAGGAGTGCATTGAGACCATCAGGCAGGCTGAGTAGAGTTTGTCCATGTTTTGGGGCGTTATGCTTGTTGAGACTTCTTGTGAGTATTGCTTTACTGTTTGTTGCCAGTGGTAGGCTTCCGCTAAGCGGTAGGCTTTGTTGTCTGGAAGGAGTGTGCAGAGGTGCGTTGTTGCTGCTCCTATTATGGCGTGCATGAGGAAGGGAGTCTGGGTTTGGTTCGTTAGGATGCGATGGGTTATGGTGGATAGGATGGGAATGGGGCCTTACTTCGAAAGCTAGTTGGACCATTTTGCCCATTACTATGCGTACTGTCTTTTGGCTTGAGAATGCTGGACCTTTGTGGAAGTGGTGGAGGGCCTCTATCGTGCGGCTTGATGCTGAGGCATCTGTGAGTAAGGGTGGTAGTTTGGCGCCACTGCCTGGAGGTGGTCGTAATAGCTCGTTTAATTTCTCGGATACCATCATTAGAGACATTGATGAAGCCAAGGAGTCGAGTGAGATCAACTCAGGGTTTGTTTCGATGAATTGGGCTACAATATTGTTGCCTTTTGGTTTTACAGACTTGGTGGAATAGTCACATACGACATCATGTTTCTGGCATCGAAGGCACTGGGGCTTGGCTTCGTCACACTAAACAAGTTATTGTCAATATAGGTGCTCATCTTAAGGGCTGAGGTGGTCGTGAGATACCTTGACTCTTCGCTGTTTACAGTTCACGCAGCCCGAACGGGATTTGCGATGGGCCCGTCGGGAATGATAGACTTGGTCGGTCGATTCCGAAGATCCATGCGTTAGGGCATTGTTTGATTTGTAGTTCGGAACCCGGAAGACCATTCTCTGCCCCTGCATGGGCTTACTTCCGGTCCGAATTTGATCTTTCTGATGCATTGTGTCCCTTGTGTGGAGAAGATGCAGACTAAGGGGAGTTCTTATAATAGTTTTGTCACAGTGAATAAATGGGGGCTGTTGAACAAAAATACTGGCAAGGCGGATTGGGGCGTTTCAAGGCATTGATGATATTGCGCTCTGCAACTCGGATTGTGATATCCCAGTTGAAGGCAGTGCATGAGGGATGAGGCTCAGCGGTGCCGAGCTGCGCCTTGTGAGTTTAATCCGACTCTTTTTTCTTTGGCCAAATCGAGAGTGAAGAAATGGTGGCGGAGACGAAGGGAAAGATGATCGACATCGTCTCCGATCTTACGCGCTATTCCCGATCGGGTAATTCTCGTATTTGTTGCTTGGCAGACTAGAACAAAGAGATCCGAAAGAACACGGAGATCACAAATCCGTATATATAATACATTGGCCTATGGTCAAGCATAAGAGAGATGGAAGTCCAGATACATGAAAGTTAACGTTGACAAACGCCATGCAATTCGTCATTCATTGAATAATATCGATCCCCGTTCACCGACACCGATGGCCATAGCTCATACTTCATACATTGATCGTCTATGCATAGATAACGAGAATGGAACGGGGTTTAGGAATGATTTAGCCCATCTTCGCGTTGGAGAAATCCATCTCTGTGGTAGCAAGTTAGCAAGGAACCAAGAGCAACACAACAGTGCACAAGCCTCAAAGCATCGCAAAAAGCCAAGAGATGAACATGATAAGAACCTACCAGGATGCTCAGCCTGGAACTTCTTCAACAGCTCCATCTTCTTCTGCTCGTCGCTACTGGGACCGCCCATTTCCTTCTGTCGCTGATCATACATCATCTTCTCAACCATAGCACGAGTCTCGCCATCCAAATCACCCAGACTAGAATTCTCCGGCGTGATCTTGGTCACATCAATCTTAGGCGCAGTAGTGACAACATGAGGCCACCACTCAATCTTGTTGACCTTATCAAGGTGAACATTGATTTCCTTGCCGGGCGGTGTTGGGGTAGTCTCAAGAGTCCAAGAGGATTCGTCGACGAGGATAGCGTGGGGGAAGTCGCCCTAAAACAAGAAATGATAAACAAAATCAGCCGGCGCTCATTTATCGGGGGGCCCATATCCCATATGGTGTCACCGATCTTCGGGGTGACTGGTTAATCGGCAAGCCGTACCTCGATGAGGGGCTCTTGACCCTTGATCGCAACCCGGATCTTATTCTTGGTCAATACCACATCCATGTCGCGGCCCTTGAGGTTGGCAGGGATGGGTGCCGTCACATCCACATCGCGAATTGTCTGTGTCCACTTGTAGGGGAGCTGAGCCTGTTCCGCATCTTCGCGGGCCTTGCGCTCTTGGTTTTCGCGCTCGCGTTCCGCCAGCTCCGCGGGGGAGGGGTTGTGGTCGGGATCGGACATGGCACGTCAGAGAAGTGTCGGTAAGGGGGAGAGTGGGATTGTAGACGGTGAAGGCGAAGTGTTGGCTCGAAAGCTCGGAGTGGGATGTGGTGTGGAGACCTCCACTTGGCCGTTGGCGCTTTTGCCGCCATTAATCGCTTACACCTTACTATCTATCAAGGCGCAATGGGCTTGCGTTTTCAATCTCCGTGCATTGGGCTGCATATTTTGAAACATTGGATTAGGCATAAATGTTTAAGAGCGCACGAGTTTCAGCCAGCTGTTCGGGGG